TAAACCCCCCCCCCCCCCTAAAAACCTAAAACCCCCCCCCTTTTAATTTTTTTTTTTTTTAAATAAAAAAATAAATAAATAAAAAGAAAATAATGCCCACGGCCGACCTTAAAAGGTGACCTTAGCCCCCCCCCCCCCCCCAACTGAGCATAATGTAAAATTCGGCTGAGTCGTTGCGAAATTTTCGGACCGATTTATAAATGTTAACCCCCCCCCCCCCCCCCTTGAAAAAATCCTGCGTACGCGCCTGGTACTTCTACAGTACATCTTCAATACTATAAATACATTATGTTACTATAAATTAGGAATTACAATGAAACTCAGTATAGGTGATTCCATCTGTATTAAATAGGTTTAAGTAATAGTTTCCTCTACATTTATGTGTTCTCAATAAAAAAATTAAAAAAGTAAATGAGAAGGTTCGGGTAATCGAATAAAAAGATTATAATAATAAATATAGGATTCTAAATGTAAAGATAGTGCTTTTAAAAGACAAGGCTATCAATTTAACATGGTCATGGCAGACTAGATTATATCATTTATTTATTTCTATAGCAAAGAACAAAAGAGGAAAGAATTAACAACAACGCAGGACAAAAAACTTAATATAACATTGCAAAACGTAGGTTTTGGTATAATAAAGTAGTATTTACACACAACACGATATTCTTACATTATCTTTTAGGCAGTATAATGCATATGGCGTATGCTCTCATTTTAATACGAAACCAATAAAGTGGATTTGAAATCAAGGTAAGAAATAAATATGAAGTTAATTAAACAAAAATTCCTATCGACGACGATAGAAAATGATAGTCCTCGTTTTTTGTTGTGGTAATAATTGTTTAAAGGTTTGAATGTCCAGTTGTAATAACTTCTTTATTCAAAGAAAAGTATTGCAATATACAAATTAGAACATGCACAATAACAACAATTACATTTATTTCCATAATATATTCATGTTTAAGGCATGTATCTAAATGAATTATACAATATACGGAAGGAAAGCGAAATTTGTAACAAAAATTATTAAAAAGGCAAATCGAGAAATATAGCAAATGCTGGAAGTAAATGGGCATGGTGTGACGTAATGAGAAACGCTTGTTGCAATGACGACCTTCGTCATTGCCTTGTTTTCGTTCACATTCTGCCCCATTAATATTCTCCTTTTCCTCCTTTTCCTGTTCCTTATCGTCAGAAAATCGCATTCGTTTTGCACGTAGTGTTTGTTATTCCTGGTTCGGTGCTTTCCTCATGTCCTTTTTCTTTCAAATTTCATAGGCATGGTCTCTAACATCTCATCAAGGTCACTACATTCTTTGATTTTCGAAATCACTCATGCATAACCGTCCAGGCGCCATTTTGTCCGTTTTTGGTCCATTTTAAGGCCTTTCTGTCTTCCTTCCTATCTCCACTATCCTAGATCCTACAAACTTCTAACAAATTCCTCTAGATAGTCTAATAGATGTTCTTTCATCTGCGACGTATGACCTGACCTTCAAAATGCCATCTTCGTACTCAAAATTCAAATCTGAAACTGACTCCGTCAAAAATCTCTCAAATTCTTGAAAAATGGACCCCTAAAAATCTAAAACTGCCATAACTTTCTCATATAAATTCCGTTTTGTGTTTTAATCTCACATTATCTTTATCTTATAATTGCACATAGCCATGCCAAATTTCACGCTCCAATGGCTTTGCACAACATAAATAGCGCCCTCTAAAGTTCTGGGAATTGGCTTTCTCTCTGTGGCCGTATCTCCATAATGGCTTGGCAAACCCGTACCCTTTTTTGGATTTAGATACTTGAAGATATGCCCTTTCCAGCCATATACAAAATTATATACCCTAACACTGACCAAATTTGAGAAAAATGCCCTCCAAAATTGCCATTTTCGAGAAAATTCGAAAATAACTTCAACTTGCTCTAAAATGGCGATCTTTATACCTATATCAGTGAAACTTGGCGGATATATGTATCCATATACGTGACAACTGTTTGCCAAGTTTGGTAAAATTCGAACATGTCAGCGCAAAGTTATCGCCCAAAATGATGAAATTACTATGCATTACGTAATAGCGCGTTTAATGCGTGCAATACATTGCGCGCAGATAACAATGGTGTCAAACTGACCGCAATGAAGTGCCCTTTCGAATGATACCAAGTATACTATATGTTCACACAGAAATTGTGAGTAAATCGTATTTGAACAAAGGTCACTACACGAATTCCGCCGAGTTTCCGCCCGAATCTAACACGTATCGGCTATGACGTCATTTTTTCAGACTGCTTTTCGCCCCTTAAACGTCCTTTTTTTTCCTTGAAAATTTGCAGTGACATGCCGAGTTCCAATACGCAGGGCACCTCTTGGCCGGATTTTTGAAATTGGTCAAGGGGGCCATTTAAGACGCCATTTTGTCCTATACATTTATTTTACATCACGTGTTTCGATAGGATTATCATAGAAAAAAAGAGAGTGGTTTACAATAACAACCATGAAATTCTCTTTCTAATGATACCAAATACGGCCCATAAAGAGACGTAAAGAGAGAGAGAAAAAACAATTTAACTCCGGCCATAATACAGATCCTGCACGTTTTCCGCCCATTCATTACACGCATTGTCTATGGGGCATATCGGGTTCACGCTTTTGGCCCCCAGAACGAACTTGATTGCAATGTCAAACATGCACCAAATCCCATTGGTTTGTGCACGCAGTGCTTGCGAGCCCTTTCTAGGTTCTTTCCCCTATCCCAATTTCTTTCAAACTTCGTAGGCATAGTACCATCCCATCAAGGTCACTGTTGATGCCTTTCTTTCGCCCTACCTATCTCCAATATCACAGAAGCTACAGACTTCGTGCAAATCTGGATAGTCCGAGAGAAGCTCTTTCGTTTGACACGTAGAAACACGGCGTCATTGCACGCACATCGTTCTGACACGATTGCATTTCTAGTATTATTTATGTTAATGTTCACCTGAACGTAGTGTCGAAGTGCAGGTCCCCCCCCCCCCCCCATTCATAAAAAGGTCAATAGTCTCATAGGGGGACGGGGTACCAACCTTACTAGAGTGATAACATTTGTCATACACCACTACTGTCTCCAAGCATACAGAGAGGGTGATACACTACAGTGACAAACTTTGGTGTGTTTGTGTATTATTTCTTAGTTATATTTGGAATATAAAACTGGAATCTAAATCTGAATCTGGCTTGTTATACTCTCAACCAGAATTATAACCATTATATAATGCACATTTGCAACTTAGCACCAATTGTTACTTTGTCAAAATATATGATTTTTTTTTTTTGTTCTTTGTTGATTTCTGGTATCTGCTAGGTCAAAAATCAAAAGCAATCTATAATTACCTCTTTTCCCCTTCTTTAAATTCTCACAGTCTGAATGTGTGTCTTTTATGTATACATGAATGGACCATTTGCTTTTACGTGTATATAAAGGTATAAATTCCTATGTTTTTCCCAACGGAAATGAGGAATTTGAAATGAAATTATCATTGTGGAACACTCTGCCTGGCCTCATGTGAAAAGAAAAAATTGCTGGTATGCATTGATTCCAGACTCTCAGTGGACCTGACATTAGGTTTGACGTTCTCCACCATCACACAAGCTAGTGTAGGATCAACCCTGGCCCATACTAACTTTGTTGTTATAGGCGACGAATCCCTGTCCCACTTCTGGGCAAAGCTGAACCAGATTGCAGGCAGTCTTAATTTCTCGTAATCCCCCAAGGCCACGCTAGCTGTCAGGGTTTCCCGGAAGTTGTCCATATTGAAGACCTCAGTCTCCTCATTCCTATTCAGCTCTATGGCTATACCGGGTTCTTGCTGAGTGCTTTGCCAAAACAGCTTGGTATCCGAACTTCTTTTCACGTAGATGTTCCCTTCTCGCGAGTAAAACTTAACTCTGTAACAAAATCACCATCAAAAACGAAACTGGTGAGATACAAAGGTAAACCACAAAGAATATCAAGGGGAATGGGCCTCGGAACGATCCGGCAAAACGGTCTGAAAATCTTGATAAGGGGTGACCATTTTACGTTACAGAGATGTATTTCTTTTTTCCGCCAAATCAAGTTGCCTTTGGTAGGGTAGATTTATAGCATTGTGAATAATCCGATGTGACCATTCTAACCAATGACATACGCTCAACTGTAGGACAACAAGTATGATGAATATTAAAAAAAATTCTTTTCAACACAACATCATTCTCAGGGGCAAATAATATGGATTTAAGAGATATTCATTTCTTACCCTCGATGGAAGCTCTTCAAGACCTTCTCGGTCAATAGCTTCTGCTTCTCGTTGACCCAAAGGAACTCTTCCAGGGAGCCGCCCTGTTCCGCAATCTGTATCCTATCTACCTCAGCTGGTACAGGGATAGGAGGTTGGTCTGATGGCTGATAATGGAGAAAGCATCCTCCCTTCTTGGTGACGACTTTCTCTAGGAAAAGTTTGGACATGAACTTGAAGCTTACCTTAAATCGGTGATCTAAAATAACAAGAAACATGGGGAAATTTCTCAGATGAATAGGTTTTTGTAACATTTTTATATCTTATATGCACTGTTCAGTCGTCTGTTGCGTTCTTTACTATTGGATAGGCATGGGCTTTCATCGACTATGACCGACGCAGACTGTGTAGCATTCCATTTGTAATGACTGTATTGTTTTATATATTTTTGTAAACTGAGTCTTATACACTTCTGTCACAGTGGCGTAGCAACAGAAAAGGTGAGAAGAGACCGAAAGGGAAAAGGGGGCAGGACGCCTGGACAACCTCTCTCATCAGTAACCTTGTTAATTCGCATTTCATTGTCAGAGTAAAATAAGTGTTCCCTCCTTGTCGGCCTTAGAAGGGAAAGGGAATCAGGATTCCCGAAATCATATTGCGGGGAGGGGGATTGTGAAATAAGCACATCACTATATAGACCAAGAGATGGGATATTATGAAGAATAATTAAAAGAAGAAAAAAACTTACCTTCCGGCATCTTGTAATTTGTGAAGTACTTTTCACCTTTTGCGGTTGTGCCGTTTGCTGAGGTACCGGATGAGGTTAGGGTTTGACTGCTGTCCGGTAGAGCCTGTCTTTGTGTAGCCATTCTACTAGCCGCATGTCCCTGTGAGTGGTCATTTGACTGCACTGCATTCAAAACATAAATTCTTAGTAAGGTCTTATACGTTGAGCACGATCAACGCTCAGAAGTTATCGTAGTACATGTGAACATGCAATTATTTAATCCACGATGGCACCTCATACTGACGCACAAGATCATCATCAAGGAAAGCTTCTGTAAGGGATTACCATTTCAAATTTCAAGGTATCACGTTTCTCACTTTCCTACTGCTGATAGGGCCTATTTGATAATCAAGTAATCTAAATTTCTAATACTAATACTCTAATAAGTGGAGAATTGCTATAACTCTGCTATACTTCTGCTTGACAGTTTCAAGTCAAACTGTCAACCAACAATAAAAAACATACATCTATTATAAGACCTATTACCAAGTCAATGTCGCTGATCAAACTCACTTGAGGCATTTCTGGTTCCATCCAATTCAACGGATCCAAGGCTCTCTCTAAGGGCATTAGGGTCCGCCATCAGCGTTACTCTGACATCCTCTGAGTTCACCCGCATGGGTTCACTCTCTGCTAGACTGCTATCAATCCTCTCATCATCATCGGGACTGACGACGTGGACAGGGTGGGCCTGTGGAGCCATCGGTGACATGACGCTAAGCATTGGGTCGCTGGAGGGACTCCTAAGAGCCAAGTATTCCGGACTTAACTGGAAAGCGGCTCCTTTCGTGGAATCTGCCTCCATAGCGTCCATTGCTGTACACGCAAAACAATATTGTATTTGTCACGTTTTATCAACCAAGTAAAGAAGAGTATCAAAATAGAGAGATGATACAGAACATAATTATGTATAGGTATACTTTGTACATACTTTAAATAGTTTTGGTAATAGTATGTAGATGCAAGTATTCAATTTTATATTTGTATCAAAGCATAACTGCGTGTGTGTGATATTCGTGTGTGCATGTGGGTGTGTGTGTGCGTGCGTGTGTGCGTGTGTGCGAGCGTGTGCGTTGTAAAGGTATTCGTTTCCCATCGCTCGAAGAAAATCATCCTTAAATATGGAGAGGTTCATGAATGTAAGCTTTTACTTTGTTTATACATTGCACACTCACTGCTGTGAGCTACTGTAATACAATGAATACGTACCGTCTACGTTTGTAAATCCGTTGTTTGGACTTGGGCTAGTAAGAGAGTCCTGTGGCGAGGAATCCAAGAACTAGAAAAAAAATCGTCGTAATTGATTTAATAAGATTTTAACATAATTATGTATATTATTTGGTGGATATACTGTTTTGTCGAATTTACAGCTGCATAATTATCCAAAATGTAAACTGCTATCAATATTTTTTCAATCGCCACAAAACATGATTAAATAAAATAATAATATTGATAGGCTTATTCTTTCTTGAAATGCAACGTTCGTGTATAAAAATTCCCAACATTATACTAACTGAGGGCAGATCGATTGGAGTGGAGTTCTATTTGATTGGATGGTGGGGAGGGCCCCAAGGGGAGAGGGTTGTATGTTAAGCCTACCACTCTTAAACTCGACATTATAAGAGGATGTATCCCCCCCCCCCCCCCCCCCCCCCGTTGTATTCCTACACCTACATTCTTTCATTTATCAAAATATTGAAAACTATAAGAACTAAAATTTCGGGTGTAGAAAATGATATTTCAAGCAAGTTTTCCTGAAATCTTTGCAAACAACTAATAGCTACTTAAATGAATATACTCACCGAAAAGTCAAGCCCCAAGTCGTCAAGCGCAGCAGAGTCTGCGGCTGTAAGAACATATAAAATAACGCAAAACACGATGGAATTTATGCTGCCAATTTCAACAAAATAAAGTTAAATTTAAAGAGGTCATTAATGTCATAACTCTTTTTTGTTTACGATGCAGCGATATGTTCCGTTATACCAGTCCGTCTTGCTATGATTTTTTTTCATCTTTTGCATTTAGAACAAGATGACAACCATTCAATATTACCACGATTTGTTAAATATTATTAGAATCGAAGACAGAAGAGATTTTGTTTGTTTGTTACTTTTTACTTTATTTCAGACTGCTTGCATTAGATCCTAACTATTTACTTTATGAAGCTTATTTAACGCTTAAATCGGTCTCTTTAATCTGGCAACGTTAAATCAATCTCATTTAGACGAATTCGATCGTTGATCAATTTGTGCAATCTTGCTGGTAACTAACAGGACCAGAGATTTTTAACAAAATCTTGCCGATGAAAGTCGATATGATACTCCAAAATTACTCTATAATTGTATAAATCTGTTCAGGATGTTCCTCCTTGGAATGTAGCGAAAATTCAACAGTCAAGTTGTCTTAACAAATTAAATTATCATTCCGTTTATGAATAACAGGATATTTCTTATTTGAATACATCTTTAATAGTCACTATTTTAATTTTTCAAATGAGTAGCAAATTATTAATACAAATTTTTCTGGCTTACATTAGACCATAAAACAGCGGTGGATTAAAAGCAAATATTTTAAAAATTGTTTAAGTAGTTTAAGATTAATATCAATAAATTGTAATTGAATAAGCTAGAAAATAATGTACTAAAATTCATGATCGAAATCTAATATGTATTTAGGCTTAAAATAATGGCGGCAACAATTAAACAAGAAATTATCGATTCATTACATTGTTATAAATAAAGTAACAATGTGAATATGAAATTAAATTGACAATTTTATTCTGAAGAAGAACATGAACTTGATGCAAGCAGGTAAAATAGACAATAAAAGAAAAAAGGAGATCTTGGAACTGAAGAACATAAGGATGCTATACGTGCTATACCTATAGCGTTCATTCAACTTACCAATCAAATATTTTTAAGAAATGTTTCCGGTATACTGAAATAGCGGCGAGATAAAAGCAAAATCACGACGAACGAAACCGAAAGTTGAAACTGATCCGGTTATTATATTGTAGTCAGAAAGCGCTGGTCTACAAAAATTTCCACCGACCAAGAGTTGCATATAAGCATGGACCTACTACGATATAAGGCACTTCAACTGAAAACAGAGCAAGAATGTACTTTATTATATTCCTCCCAGGTTATATAGGCAAACCTGAATCAATAAACTGATGAAGGCAATCCCCAATTTCGAATAAGGCTACGGTTATCGCAAATTCTTGCCATGTTTTGCTGAACAGCCAGTTTGAATGGTGGTAATAATCAAAACGTAATCGCCCCCGCGTTCCTCGATCAGAGAATAATCGCGAACGAAAAAGAATGCGAGGTGCGCTCGCATACATTAGGGGATTCCCAGAGTATTGCGATATTTGGATTGGACGGTTCTCTGATATTGCGCAATAATTGTATGCACTTGGAGGTCAAATTGAGGCATTGCTCAACATGAGTGTTAACCGTTGGTTCACGAACATGTCATTTGGACATGATTCACCAGAATCGAACACTCTTGAATCGGCGCCACGAAATCTCAATGTTGAAATTAATATAAATGAACACTTCGGATTTGGTGACATTTCACAACGGATTTCAATTAATTGATTCGTTTTCTTATTCTTAAACTCCTCGTATTGATAATCACATGGATTATGGGATTATGTTTAGATTATCCCATAATGTTCCTCATCTTGTTTACAGAAAATGAGGTTCCTCGAATATCATTCACGCTCCACAATATCTCCCTCCCTTTCCCATTCAATATTCGCCATGGGGACAATTGCCAAATATTGCGAGCGAGCAAAGCAAACGGTAATGAAATTGATACTTTACGTACTGAAATGCGAATTCGTCATTTAAAAAAAGATGACAACTGCACAATGTTCATGCCTGCATATTAAAAATTTCATATTATCGTAGGCCTTCAGCCTCTAACTCACCCCCCCCCCCCCCTCCCCTCCACACCAGCCATGTCTCATACGCCTATGATGTTTGATACCTTCAAGAGCCGGTAAATGAAAATCCACTAATATTTTGATTTAATGTTGATGGGGTTATAAATTAGATTACCACACGGCTAGCGCATCTTCTGAAGTACAGACTTGCTTTAAGAATAAAGAAAGTTACTTTTTCATGATTATAAACGTTCCCTATATTCATTATACACGTATATGCTTATTATTATTATCATAATAAAAGACAATGTTGATGTTCTTATATAATTATAAAAATAATTCAATTATGGCCAAAATTCATGCGATTTTTTTTAACCTACCATCATGTTGCTGAAGCCCATTCGAAAGATAAGAGTAAAAGGTGTCATCTAGATCCATGAACTCTGCATTTGACGACTGATCGTTATTCATGATGGACATTATGTGGCTGGAAAATAACACGAAAATATTTTTTTTTTTTTTTTTTTTTAAATGACATTGGAACTATAACGAGGTCTTTCTAAAGAACGATAGTACGACAACATTGTAGTCAATATCTACATGTAGATACCGACTTTCGGATTAATGTTTTTCTAAGCTTGAACCCCACCTCCCCCCCCCCCCCCCAACTCTCTCTCTTTCTCTCTCTCTCTCTCTCTCTCACTATCTCTCCCTCTCTTGCAATCTCTATTTTGTTCGTAGTAATAACAAATTCTTGTACAGCTATTTATCGTATTTCTTACCATGCAAATATTCATCTTTTTGATCTTTTGATTGTTTGTCGGTTGTTGTTGTTGTCTTTGGCGTTGATGGTGATGTTGTTGTTGTTTGTACTTGTGTTTTGTTTTTTTGTAATTTGTCCTTGTTTGGATGTTTTTGTTGCGTTTTATTTCTGTTAAAAGTCGCAAGCAAAATAAATATCATTTCGATATGCTGTTTTCTATGTTGGGCAATCTACATCAATTTATTATATATGACCATTACTGTGGAGGGGAGGGGGGGTTCTCAAATCGACTGAGGGGTTTTCTGGTACATCGACCTAGTACAAAATCATGCAAACTTCCTTCTTAATTTACATACTCTTTTTCGCAAACGATATACCCTTCTACAGTACAGTGTCCATTGCTCTACCATCATTTTCCAATAATCCCAAATAAAATCAATGGTAATCTGATAACAGTAGACAGTAAATCAGTAATAATTAAAGACCAACCAATCGTCAGGCCTGTACAGACACGTCATTTCATACTCGAGAGCAGTAAACACCCTAATAGGGCTATGTGGCACGATATGCCTATTTTGGTTTTGGGGAAAACCGGTTTTCGGGTTTTACCCAACTTATCTATTGTCATATTACCAAGCAAGTCCACCCCCCACACTCAGTGTTAATTAGGGTACGCGTATGCATGTTCCCTCCTTGGTACCCCCCCCCCCCCCCCCCCTAAGTCCGGTGTGTAAAGTCAATACGGGCCGATTTTTTTGTTTTTGTATTACGAGCCGGACTTTGCTGCGTGAAAAGTATCCCTTTACCGGACATTTTGGGAACATGAATGCGGTGCCTCCGTTCCCGGAGTGGAGGGGGGGGGGGGGGGGCGGGCAAGCAAGAATGTCGAATGGTGAACTGTAAGAGGCACTTTCGATGTCGTCGTCGCTTTCGACGAGCAATGATCACTCGACATCAGCGAATGGTAAGAACCGGAATGATATTTCGTGTGGCCTGAATCCTGAACATAACCAATGTTGACATCTGCTAGGATATATTTCTCAAATCGTTCGGTTTAGCCCTGATGGCTAAATTGCCTTGATATTTAATTATACCCACTGCTGCACACATACATTTCTTATCTTGTCGGATTGTTCATTTCTGAATCTCGGAATTCTCGGTCTTTCTCTTGACATGCCATTAATAAGGACATTTCTTTCTATTTTGTAATTTACAGATTCTTCAAGAGCTCATCATTTTTTACTTTAAGTCACGTTTAGTAACAAATGAGATAAAACTTGTTGCAATTCAATGGAAATCAAACTTCCAACGGAAGATATTTTGAACAAAAACAGAAATTCAAATGTTAGTAGCCATACGAACAACTATTGATTTATTAAACTTTATATTTATCTTGTGTTGTAGTTTATTCATTAAAATGCGATGAAAAACATAAGTTTAAAAATGCAGTTGGCGCTACTAGCCTATTTTGTCTAAGGCCAATATTCATTTTTCACCTTTTATACTAATGTACCTAATCATCTGTGCTTTTCAGAAGCCCCATGACTTGCAATGGCCATTACTTTGTTCATGTTATATCTGGCTTCAGTAGTAACCTTTTTTTTTTAAATCGAATATCAAGATGTTGATATTAATAGCAAAATTGCTTTCAACGGAAAAAACCCGAGAGAAATTGCGATAATATGTAATTCTTATTGACATACATAATGCTTACGAACGAGGTCATGAAAAATAGTTATCCTTAGTCTTAACAAATTCCTTAAAGCTATTTCTTTGAGATCGACAATATCAATATGTGAGAGGAATGGCATTTTTTGTAATGGTTATCCATGTGCTAGCATCATAAAATTTATCATATAGGCCTATAATTACAAGTTACCCAACAATGCCGTGTTTTTCTTGTCACAATGCTTCCACATAATGTATTTTCAGAATGATTTACTAAACATGCCTACTGGATAAAGCTATTCCAGAAAAAAGAACACAACTTTAACGTTTACAGTAATAGAGCTATTGTGTCATAACTATAAAATGGCCTAATCTGTATTTGAAATGTTATATTCTTTCAAGCTGACTTTATAATTATATTTCCACCTCTTTTTGTTCCCGTCTATGAATACAATTTACACTACAGGTCTCATCTCTCTATTTGCACTAGACTACATAGTCTAAAAATAAATGGGAAGGACAATGTGGGTACAAAGGTCGATGACAGTAAATAGTTTTATTAGTTCGAATTGAAACAGATGCAATTAACCTTTCTGAGTAGGTCCGTGGTTATACCAAGGAGTTATTAACCTACGCAATACAGCATGGCCTACGAGTAAAACACTCATCATTCCATCTGTATTATATCACACAACTGCACTTATGTCAACAAGAATTAGTCAAAACAAGAACAATTTGACAATTTGCGTATACTACGAAGAATTTTGACCCCCCCCCCCCCCCCATGATGTAAGTGGGAGGAATATCAAACATAGTCGGAAATCTATAGATTAATTCTTATTAAGCTTGATTTCCTTCATCATTCCGTTCATTCTCTCGTTTTGTTTCGCTCACTCTCTCTCTCTCTCTCTCTCTCTCTCTCTCTCTCTCTCAGCGTCTCTGTCTATCCTTCTGCCTTTTCTAATGTTATATCAATGTATATGTCGCTTATTAGTTATTCAACATCTCTCTCCTTTGTCTATCTGCCATTCATTCTGTCTTTTCTCTCTCTCTCTCTCTCTCTCTCTCTTAAGTTCAAAGCTCGGTTTAAAAAACATCTACTTGGTTGTTCTAATTAAAACTATTCTTTCTTGAATGGATCAAGTGTGGAATTGAAAATGAATACTAGTAATAAATTGTTGATTGTAAGCAAAGGAGGAAACACATGTGTGTTACAAATGGCCTGAGTCACGTCCAAAACCAGGCAATCGAAACTTACCTTTCAAATAAATAAAAGTGATGATTCAATCAGGTAAATAGATGACACTCTCCACCCACGGGTCACCTGGACGTGAGGTCAATCGCATTAGCTAAGACGAGTCCGAAGTGGAATGAAACAAAATATTGTTTCATCAACTCACCAATCGCGTCTGAGTCACTACAAGTAATTTCTGCAATATACAGAGAAGAATGTTCTGTCTTGAGTCACTTCGAGGTCTTTCCAACGCGATATCAGATGAAAATTACACCCTAACTGGTGGCCTGTGTCGTTTTTTCCTGTGGAGAATTCAAGTGCTTCTTCTGGCGTAGCTTCCAAATATATACCATCTCTGTGGGCTATAATTATATTCTGGTAAAATGCACGAAAGCGACATCGTCGGGGGTTACGTAGTTCCTGTTATGTTATGTTTTTGTCAACATACTTTCTAGAACATCAAATACTTATCACAAGGCCACGTTTTATAAATCAGCAAAATGTAGCAGACATTACGTATACGCCACCGTGTAAGTAGGGGCTTCCCCTAATCGGTAAAAATACCTTTTTCGAGCGTTGTAACGGGGAAGTCCCGAATTATCCGGGCGAATTTATAGAGGGCGCCATTATATCTCTTTATTCGCTGCGTAAATATATCGATATGAGGTAATATAGTAGGCTACTATTCCTCTAGGATTGTTTCCCTTATGTTATACAGGGTGATGAATTTTATTATGCTCCCGTATACCCGGTCTTTATAACATTCTTAAGCAGTTTGTTAAGAAATATTATTACATTAGTCTAAGAATTAACATTATCAAATGTTATAAGTTATTTAATTTTAAAATTAAATTACATTATGATATACAAAAAAATAATAATTAAGCATTAGACCCTTGGTATCTGCATGTACATGTTTATATGTGTAACGTGGTGGTATATTGGTCATGTAGTCCTTCTCTCTTCTTCTTGTATTCTCTCTCTCTCTCTCTCTCTCTTTATCTTTGTCTCTTTCTGCTGTATCTTTCTTTATCTTAATTGGTTATAGATGTATTTCTAAAATGTGCTGGCATGTCTAGTTGAAGCTATCTATTGAAGCTATCCTGCTCCCACACTGGGGTATAGCCTTTATGACCCTATTGCCATTCACAGTATTAATCCATCCTGTTCGATACAATACTGATTACTAGTGTACTAGACTTAAATGCCATTAATAAAACTGTAATAGTAGAGATTAAGCTCTATGAAAGGGAATTTAGATATCAGACAGGCTCCTTGTGGTCATTCATGCTTTGTGACTATTCTTTGAAATATGCTCTTTGAAGATCACTTTAGTTTTAGATTAGACCCCTCCCCCTTTTAAAGTAATGACCAATAAGATGATCAGAGGAAAAGTCGAGTATGAATGTTTAATGAGGTATAAAAGTAGTTTGCATGAATAATTTGCTCACTTGGCTCCACCCCGACTTGGTCTTCTCTACCTGTACCCCTGTCCTCCCATTCTCCCTCAAGCTGTCCCTGAACTAACAACTAATTGTTGGATGTGAAAATCAACGAGTTTTGGACTCACAAAGTTATCGAAGTACCAGAATCGTTCAAGAAAGCCAAGTCACTTTAATCACCTAGTCGGGAATATTCAACTCAAATTATACAACATACTTCGAGGGAACTTGATTTGAAAGTGTCAGGAACTGATTGATAAGGAGGAACATTGATAGGAGAAACATTGATTGCAGATACGTCGGCAAATAGGTACCTTTAACCCTATGCCGATTTGATGCTGTGTTCCTGATTTTGATCCTGAGTTCCTGAATTTGATCCTGTGTTCCTGCTGTATATCCTGTCGTCCTGATCCCGCAACTGTGTTCCCGATTCCTTTCCCGTCTCCGATGTCGTCATCTTTCCTGGTCCCATACCCGTAGCATCGTTGTCCATCTCTTCATCTCGTCTGTAAACGGCCGAATCAGTACATCCACTCGAATCGCGAATAGTCTACCGTGCTGTATGTAAGTGGCCACGGTACTAACAATTTCTAATTAACCTCCCTCTTTCCAACCCTTAATGTCCCATTTATTTAGATCAACAAGTTAAGGCTTTTGAAGTATATTTTAGCTTAAGGTGTATTTTGATATAAATATATGTTGAAGAGGTCTTATGGATTATTGATACTATTTTCATGACATTGTTTGATAATAAATACTGTTATAGAAGAATAGTTGATACAGGTCAGTGATTGGTAAATGAACATATATCACACCTTAAATACTATATCGTGTCCCAGCGCTCTTATTCTTTGACTTTATTTCAAATCGGTTGTCTATTTGAACTAACCCCTCCCCCGAGTGGAAGTCATAGCTAGCGGACCAATACAAAAAACTGATTTCACTCGGAGCTCGATTCTATTATTTCATTATAATAGGAGACGGTGTGGTGTGGGCGGTTAGATATATATATATATATATATATATATATATATATATATATATATATATATATATAATACACTGTATGTTCTTTTTATATCATGGTATAAGTACTTTTAGCCTTGAAATGTCTTTGCTTAAGTAAGTTTTGTAATTTTGCCTTCAATTCATTGTGTGTTGTTTGCTGCCTTTGTTATGTAAGATATTCATTTTTATTGTTTTAGTTCTAAAATATGTTTGTGCCATTTATCCGTATTTTGTCGATGCCCCAGGTGGGGCCGTTTCAGAAATAAAACAAGCATTTTAAATCTTTTGAACCTTTTGGGTACAAATTCCCCAACACTAGATTAAGCAGATATTTTTTTTTGAAAGAATGAACAATAAATCGGGTAATCACCTAAGCTGTGACATAATTGTTTCACATTTATTTTGTTTCGAGCCGCTTCTACATGCCAAGTTCACTGGCTTATATATATTATATTTATTAGGTTAACAGACTTTTAATAGACATGGAAACCCCCAAAATATGATAGTTATATTCAGCAGCAATTTATACATGTATTAATGTAATGAAAAATGACGAGCCAACATTGTGGTTTGTATCCGTTTATTACACATTCATAAAAGTGGTAATACATTTGGATCATTTTACATTTGATCAATTTCCGCAGTGCATGCCCTTTTAGTCATTCGATAAGCTAGTTTTTTAGATTTATTTTTATATAAGAAAGTGTAAATTTGTAAAGGCTACTAAAACTGTGATCTTGAAACAATTCGTGTTAAGTATGCATATGGAAAAATCATTATATTTGCAGCATTGATTGTTTTACGTTGTCTGTTTGTTTCTAAACAAATTTATGTGTGTTTGTATGCTTGTTTGTTGGCCTATCCGGTAATAAATCCAGGATGTGCTCGTAAAACATAAAAGCTCCAGGGACCTACAGTAATTTTGTATCCATTTATTATGTTAGATATGCATGAGCCTTAATTCCTAGAAAGTACCTTTGGTTTGAGAACCTCGCAGGATAATGATAATGTGATGCGAAACGGTGGTGTGGATCGAAAATAAGGAGGCCGGGGTGACCGACCGAGTCCATATAATCCCCCTTCTACATGGTTGATGATAAAAATAAAGATAGTAAAATAGTTCATACAAATTAGTGCTTTATGCGCTGACAACTCTCTCTCTCTCTCTCTCTTTCTTATGTATTTGATTCAGGTTCGTGCCCCTCCTCAGCGCTTTTATATGCCATTCAGAAACGTCAATTGACAAAGCTTTACTTGAAATCAAATTGACTTGTTTTCCTTTTGCAAAACGGCAACCATCTTTTGAAGCACCTTCTCGAGATGGCAATCAGCATAACAAAATGAATAACAAAACAGCATAACAAAACGCCCACGGAATGAATAGCGCCGAAACGCCTTACGTCATAGAGGTGTAACAATTGACCACAGACAGTATCTAACCCACCCATCCATACCCCTCCATACACCATTAGATTTTGATGTATAGGGGCCGGGTCGATCATAACCGCTGTCTTTAGACGGGTGGTGAACATAAAAACATGTCTTTTGAGCGCGTGTAGGGAAAGGAGCAATGAGAAGCAGCCATCATGGAACGGGAACAACCATTAGTAATGAATAAAGACCAAATGGATTATGCTGATAGATATTTCATGTTCCTGTATTTCTGAGACTCAGCCAATTAAGCTCCATCAGCGCCTGATATTAAAGAGGTAGGGACTGGGAATCCAGAATGATGATCTTTGGTATATAAGAGTCATGCAGGCGCCCCCTTCGTTTCTTCCATTCACTTTCCAGGTAAACAAAACAATAATTATATACACTTAGAAATATAGTTCTGAATATCAATTGTATGGGCGGATTCAGTCATAATAATAATTTGTATCAATTCTTCTTCACGGTCATTCGTAAACGTAATCTACTTGACGTCTTTCAAGTTGAAATGAATTGGCTCACATCCGGACTGGATTACATGAACCTTACCTTTATAATAATGAAATTTCATGAGCAGCTCTGTTCATTGGACAACGTATTAATAGATGGGGTACAAGTGCCCATGTGCCCCCCCCCCCTCCCCCAATACTACCGCGCGCCATGAAGTACTACGATAGACGACGATTAATATAGTGGTAATCAGAAAAGACTAACACTATAGATGACAACATGCAGTTACATCAACATTTAGGATGATGATTATTAGGGATATTTTGTCGCGGCGATGGTGGTGTTATTGGTGGTGGTGTTGGTAGTGGTAATAGTGGTGTTCGGGTGGTGGTGGTGGTGGTGATGGTGATGTTGGCGGTGGTGTTGGTGATAGTGGTGATGGTGGTGGTGATGATAATTATGTTGACCACAGTGGTGATAGTGACAAAATTACCGTCGAATGAAAGAAAATTGGAAAAGATTTACGCTAGTGAAGAAGAGCAAATATTAAAGTAAAATTATACTGATACAATTAGTGACAAGTAAGAGCCAAAATAAAGCAAAGAATAAGAAAAGAGCAGAGATATATTACTCCATGTCGTCTAGTGTTCTCTTGAAACTCAAGACTAGCATCCGATCCTGTTTCCATCGTGCACTCGCTCTAGGTCTCGTTTAAGGTCAAGTTAGGATAGGGTCATGTCTCCCAAGAGTGTTGCTCTCGAGAGCAACCCAGGTCAGAGGGCGTTCACATCATACATTCTCAAAAACACATTCCTCTCCGTACTTTCCTGCAAACATAATACCTCATAGCATTCTAACTGGGCCTAGGCTAGATTCTGCTCTACCGGCAATCTACTTTTCATATAGAATGGGGAGGGGATGTTGTTACTATGCAGGGTGGAAAACAGAAAAATATTTTTGTCAGGGATGGAGATGCTGAATGATATGTTGTCTGGTTGGTGGTTCGGTGGTTGCTCAAGGTTGGATCAGATCCGTCGGCCATGTATCCTCTATTTTATCAATTAAACCTCGATCATCTGTTTTTCATGTGGTTACCAGGTGAGCTTTAACTAAGCATGATGAACAATGCTTATTGTTTTTCTTATCCTCATCGATATAATTTCTTTTTGACTCTCCTTTTTAAAAATAAATATTGGTATTATTGTGTTCTTCGCTCTGTGTTTTTGCAGATAAAAAAGACACGCAATAATATTTAGGCCTGCAAAAGCATGCGCTTCATTATATGGTTTTGTATTTGACGTAATTGTCTAAATTCTGTATTAAAACGTTTGAAATGGCTTTATACACTTTACCTCGTACTTAATTAAGATTGGTTATAGTGAAAATATGTTTGGCAGAGATTTCGATAGGAGTGTCCGCAATCATCACAACGTCGTGTTGGTGTACTAACACCAGTGCAAACTTTCTGAAATTTATTGCAAGTCAGTCGCTATAATTCCAACTAATATTAAAGGATGCATCCCCCGTTCGGTGTACTATTATCTAATCCAAATTTCTTTATAAAGCCTCCATCGTTCTTTAAACTGAAGACAATCGTCAAGATGCAAAAATTGGAAATAAGATATTATTGTCATCTATTAAAGATATTTATAGAAATGTAATGAAGAACTTAAGTAAAATTGTATTCCAAGTTGATTTTTTTTTTCCATTTTCTGAAAGGTTTTTTAGAATGTTTGTCCCAAACTTTTAACGAACTTTAAATAACAGTCTCTATAGGCATTTGACATGTTAGAAGAGCATGGCTTATACCATAAGGGTGGGTAGCGTCGCGTCGCGGCGCGTTGACTTGAACGCGACCATTCGTCCAAAGCCCCCCCCCCGGTTTGACCGAAAGGGTGCGTTGGGAGTGTCACGTCGCGTCGCGTTAACTTGAACGCTACCATTCGTCCAAAGCCCCCCCCCCCCCGGTATGGCCGAAAGGGTGTGTTAAAAATATTTTAAAAGTATTTAAAAAATAATAATCTTGTAAATCAAGGGTATCGAATAAGAAATAAACCACGTTTGAATTATATTTGGCATCTGTCACCCCCCCCCCCCCCCCCCCCCATCACTACGCCAATGTTTTAGGTTTGTTGGCGGGATTAATCGCAACTGTTCCCTTCTTTTTACCCTTTTCTTTTCCTTTTCCTCTTTTTTGTTCCCTTTTAGCTCTCCTCTTTACCTTTCCCTTCCCCCATTTTTTGTGGGGAGGGGGGGGGGCGTCCCTTCTTTTCTTCTTCCTACGACGCTACCCACCCTTATGGCATAAGCCGAAGAGCATGTAGTTCTGTCTGCTTACCCCAGCGCTAGCAAACATGATATCGTTGCTATTCAAAGCTTCATCCGAAAAATAAACATGACTTTTGCACTTACTTGTATACAGATGTATAAACTGACCGGGGTACTGAGTGTTATGTAAATTGTATGCCTACATTATTATTATCACAAAGGCCAGAATGACCACACAATCTACGGAAAATGGACAAATGTTAAGGATTGTTTATAGTATAGAATATGTTCCTCATATTTTTCATCTTTAATATGGTCATCATTATTTATTTGTATTATCATTATCATTAATACCATGATAGCAGGAGTATTAGTAGTAGTAAAAGTAGTAGTGTTAGTAGTAGTAGTAATAGTAGTAGTATAGTAGTAGTAGTAGTAATACTAGTAGTAGTAGTAGTAGTAGTAGTAGTAGTAGTAGTAGTGGTAGTATTAGTAGTAGTATTGTGTTTGATGTAGTTGTTATTGTTGTTTATTATTATTATTACAATGTTTTTACATGAAGAAAAGGGTAGGAATTTTGAACATGTATATCTGTTATGAGCTGTACTAACAATACAAAAAACGTTCAGTTTATACAAATTTAGATATTTAAAAGTGGAAACTGATAAAAGAGTTTAAAAGTAGATAAAATTGGTGTTATGTCTTATGTATTGTTCAATGACGAATAGAGATCATTAATAGCGCTCGATGTGCAAATATTTCATAATTAAACGATTCAAACGATTTGATTTTTTTGGGGGGGAAACAGGAATAAATAATGATTTGTCTTAGATTTGTAATGAAAACCTGGGATGGTGCACCTTCGTTCCTTATAATCTTACTACTACTATGCCCAACCTGATTAGTCCAAAATATTGAATTACAAATGCACACTAAATAAGATAACGATCTACACAATGCATTAATGATGTATGTAACCTGACCTATAGACTATATGTCTTCAAAGGATATCTTTAACGCTTTTGGTGAGCAGCAGTAGCAATATATCGCCATAAGGAAGAACAAAAATGACCTGAGACATATTTTTTACAAGCAATTAACAGATGATTGATGGTAAATTTATCGCTCTCTTACAAGATATCAAACTCGTATCATTTTAATTGCTTGCTTTGGTCAACATTGACGGTTTGCTTTGAGTTTTTAGGCTCGATGTGTACTTAATATCTGGATAAGTAGGGCTATCCTGAGTATACTCAGTAACTGAGTTGCTTGACTTCGGGTTTGCATCGTTCATTTTAGTAGCGTATTTCATTTGCAGTCATCAGTATGCGGACGACAGCGGAATATTATGTTAGTATTTTGAAGTTATAAATATTTAAGGCAGATATTTTTGATGTTGTATTCAACTGGTTGCCAAATGGTCTCCTCGATCTATGGACTAATCATGGGGGAGGGGGGGGGGTCGATCCATACGCACTGTTGTTGCTTATATATTCGGCCTATATACGTTGTAACATTTCTGCTGTTATCACTTATTTGTTTTGTGGAAATTTAATGCGCGAATTTTATTTTTGTGTGGGTGTGTTTATATGTCTCTCCAAAATTATGTGTGAATCCAAAGAGTAAATATGTCCTATTATCAAATATTGGAGGAAATCATTCAAATCGTTCAAAATTGTTCAATATCGAGTAGATAATACGTCCTGTGAAGTACTACTGCTACCGGGATCATATATTTTTGTTAATTATATTTTGCAATTTTATGTGTTTCTTCCCTCCTCGTTCACATTACAGGGCCTGGTCTGTGTGTGATTTAGACGACTTAGACTGTCTTGTTGACTTGCCCTCTTTCAGTACCGATGACATATCAACGCAGTACGTCCCCGCACACTCTTCATTGTCAAGTCAGTCGGAGTTATCCTCTCAGGAATCACTTGTGGAAACTGGTAGCATTCCACCAACGTTTTGGGATATACCTCTTACTAGCCCCGTTTTCACTGAACCTATTCGAGGGATGGGTTACGATCAGGATCGGTTTGTAGAACCAATCAAGGATGGTCTCATGTGCGGCATCTGTAAGGATGTGCTGGAAGAACCACTTCAAGCTCCGTGTGAACACGCCTTCTGTGCAACATGTATCCACGGCTGGTTAGTACACGAGAGGACATGCCCAGAGGATAGACAGGTATTTAACAAGGACGTGTTCATACGTGCCACTTATTATCTAAACTTATTTTTAATTTTTAATCTCTTTCTGATATTAGTTTCAAGTCGTTTTCCTATTCAAGTCATATTTTCCTTTTTTCTTTTCAGTCTACTTGATTTGTTTTCAAGTTTCATTTATTTCCGTCTGCCATAATTTCTCTTCGTTTCGAATCAGCAAACTGATTCTTTCAAGCAATTCAATAATTACAATTTAATTACGAAATGACAAATACCCCATTGAACTTGCCTCGGGAATTCATGGGATGTTTTCCATGACATTTATAGTAGATCAATTTGTATTTTTAATATTTACTGCCCCATGCTGTGATAAATGAAAGGAAACGTTTGATATATTGCTATAGTGAGCTACATCGCTTTTTTTTTTATGGCAGACAATGTAATTTTATTTTACCACTCCATCTCACTCCCTAGACCCTAATTCCTACAGTTGTTGTAAAACGATATTGTGATGTTCTTTTCATCTTTGTAAATAGCTGTTGGTAAAAAATAATTATTGTTGAAATCATTAATTTCTACACAGAGTCTAGAGGAATGTGACCTTCGACCTTTGTTCCGATATATGCGCAATGACCTGAACCAACTTCGACTTCGATGTGTGAATGCAGACAATGGGTGCTCTGAAGTTTGCAGTCTCGAGGTCATTAGCCGACACGAAAATGAATGTTCCTATGGTACCGCGGAATGTCCAAACAGAACGCGAGGTTGCGATGAAGTTCTGGAGCGTCGCCTCTTAGATTCTCATTTGGCCACTTGTAGCTACCGTAGCTCCAATTGCCCAAATGGATGTGGGCTAACTATTCTCAGCTCTGAACTTGAATCCCATAACTGTGTGTCTGAACTTAGAACCGAGCTTGAGCTGTTGAGATCGGAGATGATTTGTAAGCAAGAAGAACTAAGACATGAGATGCAGTTGAGGCTAGACTCACAGAGGGCCCATATGGTTGAAAGAGTAGGCACCATGCATCAGACAATGAATCAACTCAGAGGTATAAATAATTCTTAGTCACGGAACCCCTACGGCCCTACCCCCACCTCCCCCTTCCAGCTCCCTTCAATACAAATTAAGTTGATGCTTTTATCCTAAATCACTACAGTATCTGTACCATTACCAAATGAGGGAACACTGGAACGGTTCGGGAGGGGGGCACCGACCTTACTCGGAAAATCAAATATGAAGTTACAAGGCTTCTGATTATATGGGAGGGGTGCCGGATTTAGTCCAGGCGTCTTCTTTTGTCATTATTTCCGCTCGCCCTTCCCTTCCTCTCTTTTCGCGCTCTTTTTTTACTCTAGATTTTGTTTCCATCACTTGTTTAGGAGGGGCATATGTTACCCTGCTCTGATGTTGCTATGCCACTAACCATAATTATAAGTCAACGCTTGGAGTTCATTTTAAAAGAATACGTTAGTAGGCTGCAGACCTATGAAAGAATTCAGACAGCTTCATAATAATATTGATAATAATTCGTTTTTATTTTACAGTTTGAACAATACCCGAAAATCGGATAGGGCCTTGTCGTCTTGTTCATTAATACATTGATTGGGCTTCCTTCATAAAAAAAAAAAGAGGTCAAATACCAAATATCAACATTTTCAACAAATAAAGGCAAAACAATTAACCGGGGTTCTTTCTTTGGTTCTATGACAATTACCCCCTGGGCAATCACCCCCCCCCCCCCTCCCGTCCAAATTACCAGCGGGGCAGTTACCCCCCCCCCCGGACAACCACCCCCGGAAAAAAAAATCTGCTTTTCCTAAGATCAACTTAATATCAGGGTGGACTTCCCATCTAATGAACAGGGGATAATCTTCGGGGGATGTATTTGTCCTCGGGGGTAATTTAAGGGAACATTGTCCTCGATGGATAATCGTCCGCGGGTGGAAATTGTCCTTAGGGTTAATTTTCCGGGAGATGATTGTCCAGGGTGTAATAATTGTTCTGATACGTTTTTCTTTATGTCGAAGGAGACATCACCAGCCTCCAGCATGAGCTCCGTGTGATGAACGCCCTGGAGACTCAGCGGGGCCAGCACATGGAGGCACTGGAGCTGGAGCGTAAGGAGCTGATGGAGCTTCTTAAGTCTATCAAGGAGGGGGAGACGGCCCGTAATACGTGCAGGGTGTGCAAGAGAACGGAGATGATCACAGCTCTATAACACATGGTAAGATATCAACCGAATCTGTATTCGATTCGATTTAATTTATTATGCCATTCAGATTGAGCTCAGCTAGGGTTGAAAAACATGAATCAGAATGATAAAACATTACGCAAGGGAAAACTGTACATGTAACCTTTTCAAAAAGTACACATAAATAAAGCATCGTGAAAAATATTGACACAATGATGAGACATTAAGTTCCTGAGCGAGTTTATGTTATTTCTTCCTGTTTTTTCTGAAAATAAAGCATAACATTTCCACCTGTACTTTTACAGACTCAAATCACTTTAGGCTTGATCGGCTATGGCGAAGCAAGTGTTTTGATAGTTAATTATCAATGCATTGTTGATGCGCCGTGAATGGTATATACTCATGAATAAAAGAGAATAACACGAAATTCGTTAACTCTGTAGTGATAGCTATCATATTTCATCTGGTTTAATATACAAATAATACACAGCAGTGAGGGCATTAGTAAGAATTACCCACACAAGGTATCTTTGGAAAAGTCTAACCCGCCCGAGGCGATAGCCGAGGGCGGGTTAGACTTTTTCAAAGGTACCGAGTGTGGGTAATGTTACTAATGCCCGAACAAAATGATGTGTATTATTTGTTTTATAAAATTATGACGTGGATCCTTGTTATTTGATAAATCAACCTCATCTCAAGAATGAGATCTAGACTAGGTCTACATCTAAGAGTACGATCTAGACTAGTCTAGATCACTACATTTCTAGATCTAAGTAGAGATTCTAGATCTAGAACTCATTGTTTTTTATCTTACTTTTTTAGTCTTACCTTTTATATCATCAGGATCATCCATCATAAACTTGTAAATCAATGCAACAGGTCATAGAAAAACTTGAAATTGAAACTCCAACTGGAACAATGAACGTCTAGACTCGAGTCTACGTAGAACTTGAAGTAGGCCTAGCCTCTAGGCCTAACTTAGAACCCGAACCAGCGAGGTAAAACTAAAAATGTCATTCCAAAGTGCAACTTCCAAACAGCGATAATGTACATCATGACATGTAGAATTGTTTAAAAAGCTGAAATAGTCAAAGTCAAACTCAAGTCAAAGCCAAACATATGTACATGTAGATCTAGGCCTAGCCTACACAAAGTCTTGTCTTGAAGTTGAACATTTAATTATTATAAATGTTCACCACACAATCGTGGATTTGAAAAGTATTTGATGTCGTTGAAAGGTCCTGGTGTACCTTCTCCTGCGAAAGCGAAAAAGATAGTTGTTGATGGGAATTCACATGAACATCTACATTATCTGAGTCACGATCCGGAACTACTATTTCAAGCGGCTGTCTGGTCGTGTGCATGGAATAGGCGCGATTAGGCCTGCTTGGACCAGGTCCAGGACCAGGATCTGGAACCGATTGAGTTGCACTAGGCAAAGTGATGTTTCTTTTCTCGTAGAGATGACTCCCAAGATGTGAGGACATTTGTTTCTTCCGCTCGTGGCTAGTGTTACAGTAATTCCTGAGTGACTGCTCACTGTGGTGACCACTCACTGATTGAATGTCTCGAGACTCGAAACCGGCTCTATCCAGGGTCGTGATGCATGTTGCTCTTAAGCAGTGGTTTGTGTACAACTTTGAGCATCCAGCTTTCTGGGAAATTTGTTTCATCTTATTTCCCATTGTGTTTTTGCCAACTGGAGCATTGCAGTACCAGTTGTCACCATCTTCTGGCTTCTTTGCTTTTGGTTTCTGCCATAGAAAAGGGCAATCTTTGTTCAGCTTCGATACAAACTGCATGAAACTCTCAACTGGACACTTTGAACTTCCAGGTATTTCGTACATCACTCCGTTGTTCGACACCTCATCATCATCCTCACGATTGTTCTTTGTCAATTGATCTCTTTTAGTGATGTATCGAAGTCCGTCTTCATCTGTCTCAAGTCGAAAATCGTCTGGCTTAAGTTCTCGAAGATTTTCTCGACCACGATTACAGAAATATGTCATAAAATCGACGAAGACTTTGTTCTGTAATCCAGCTGGCGTGTCACAATCGAGCACCGACGAGTTTTGTATGATTTCCATGTCACTAGATGAGATCGCGGGTTTGTGCTTGGTGGAACCTTTGCCTTCCTTCTTGAGCTTCACTAAGACGGCTTTAAACATTCTCACACTTTGTGAGAATGTTGCCTTGTCACGAATATCAAAGTTATGCAAGTCCAAAAAGTGTCTCTGTACACCATACCTGATCACTTGCATCGTTTTCTTGCTGTACCACGATCCATCTTCGCGACGGAGACTTGAATAGAACGTGCACAAAACGTCATCCAGTCGAAGCCTGTCGGTTGTGATTTCACCCAATTCAATTTGTTTCAGGCCCAAAAAAGCTTCAAATTTCGCAAAGCCAAACTTTATGCTCTTCTTGGTACTAGCAGAATCAGTCCCATTCAATAACTCTTGCATTTGTGCAGTTGAAAGAATTTCAAAAGTAGGCACTTTAAATGCCGCGGCAGCCATTCTCGCGAGTAAAAGTAAAACGATGAAATCTCAATGGTTACGATAGCAACAACAAGATGTGGTAATGACCGGTCATTACCACTGGGTAATGACCGGTCGTTACCCAAATTACGCGTTAGGCAAAATAAATGCCTGGTCACGTGTATGCTTTCAACCAATCATTTGATTAGGATCTACGTCATCATTTTATAATGCGTGTATAGGCCATGCCGTGTAGGCATACTCTCATTTAGAGTGATGCTGCGTAGGCATACTCTCATTTTGAGTGATGCCGTGTAGGCATACTCTCATTTTGAGTGATGCTACGTAGGCATACTCTCATTTTGAGTGATGCCGTGTAGGCATACTCTCATTTTGAGTGATGCCGTGTAGGCATACTCTCATTTTGAGTGATGCCGTGTAGGCATACTCTCATTTTGAGTGATGCTGCGTAGGCATACTCTCATTTAGAGTGATGCTGCGTAGGCATACTCTCATTTAGAGTGATGCTGCGTAGGCATACTCTCATTTTGAGTGATGCCGTGTAGGCATACTCTCATTTTGAGTGATGCTACGTAGGCATACTCTCATTTTGAGTGATGCCGTGTAGGCATACTCTCATTTTGAGTGATGCCGTATAGGCATACTCTCATTTTGAGTGATGCCGTGTAGGCATACTCTCATTTTGAGTGATGCCGTGTAGGCATACTCTCATTTTGAGTGATGCTGTGTAGGCATACTCTCATTTTGAGTAATGCTGCGTAGGCATACTCTCATTTTGAGTGATGCTGCGTAGGCCTACTCCAAATAGTTTATTTTATTTTATTACATGCTCCATTCCATTCTGTTTCATTTAAATTCATTCCATATCGTTTAATTTCTCTCGGCTTTTATTATTCCTTTCTAATTCATTTCACTCTGTTTTATTCAATCAGCTCCGCTCTATGCATCCCCACTCAATATAATTACATTCACCATTCAATTTATTTTCCACTCTAGTCCTCTCTATTTCACTCCATTCTATATTCTATTCTACTTTCTTCTATTCGGTATTATTTCCACAACAAAGAATACCGTAATTTTAATCCCATTCCATTAAATATTTGACATAGCTTACTATAATGGGTAAAGATTGAGGTAGAAAAGAGCAGGACAAATAATGCGTTTTGTTTCTGGGATTGCAATGTGTTATGTCCGACGAATATGTTTTGAAGGGAAAAAATATAAAATAATACATCTCTCTTCAAGTCTATACAGCTACCCCCAGCTTTGAGAAAATGTGAACATTTCATTCGTATTATAATTGAACCGCGAAATGTACTTCAGGCCTGTTTATGTATATGGTTGCTATGGCTACCGTGTAACCCCCTTTCAGCACAGGTCATATCTAAAGAGGGCACGCATAGGGGTGAGCTCTGGAATTCTGATAGCAAATCACTGAATATTTTTTTCTACTTATAAAAATATCTTAAATATATTTAGTCTCGTTCAAGGCCTCTGAAAAATAGTCGATGCCCGCTCAGCTAAGTCGGATTCTGTGGATTAAAGACAAATATTTTATCACAAATCTTTTTGCTGAGCTGTTCCTAATTTTTTTTTTTTTTTTTTTTTTTTTTTTGGGGGGGGGGGGGGGTGGGGCTACGAGTTAATTGGTTAAGCACCAATAACGAAAGAAAGTAACAGTGGTTGTCGTTTCCTTTTCATCACTAATAGTAATAGTACAGTTGGATGGCATGACTGTCAACTGAAAAATTACAGAAAATCTAAACAAGCAGTTGATCTAGGCCAATTACATATTGACAATAATTGCAAATGCTAGAAATTGATGAAATGATTTAATGTAACCAAAGATATGTTTCATTAGTTAGACCAAACTATACCTCATTCATGCAGGTTCACAACATTTTTCATATCTAAAGTCAAAGGAAAATGAATCGGTGGCCCAACACCACCCCCCCCCCCCCTAAAAATAAAATAAAACAAAATAGTCGCCACTGTCGAAGTTCGAACGCTTCCAATTTTTTCCCAAGTCCTAAACCCCTTCCCAAGCCCCTTCTAAATAATCTTGGACCCGCCTCTAACGTGTTGTCAAGTTCCAGTATAAAACAAGATTCACTTCGAAGACATTTTGCGTCAAATGCGTATTTACATGAGGCGTTGAAAGGAAATCCTAGATATTCGATATAGGTCCCTAATACTCGCGACTAAATTTCTAAAATTAGATGATATTGCTTAACTGCCTAAACACCCACCCATATATAGCTGCCACACCTTCCTGTAAATATAACATCCATGTGTGTATAAATATGATACGACCAACGAGAAGTTTCGCCCTTGTTAGTAAGACTTGTAACAAAATATTACCAAAACTGATGAGATCGAGCTTCTTTTGGAAAGAAGACTACACAAAGATAGAATTACATGACACCCTATACTCAGCTTGCGTCAGTCTAGTCTTTAGCTTCAGCCGACGAATCTGTTTTCTCTTGAAAAATCTGAACTACAGTTATTACAAGTACGAATAGCCCAGTTTCTCATTTTGAAGAAAAAGACAGACAGTTATTAAATCGTTTGACCCAACTTGACCCAACTGCAAAATGATATGTGAGCGCAGTTGAAAAGGCTTATGGGCTTATGATATAGGCCTATCACCTTGAGCTTTGAACCCCAACCCTTCCCTCTCTCTCTTATTTCTTTCTTTCTCTCTCTCTCTCTCTCTCTCGCTTTCTCTCATCTTCTTTGCCGCGGCATGTGTCTTTACGTTACTAACTAAACACATTCACATTGTTTTGCAGTAACCAACCCCTGAAGCCTAACGCTTTGTCAAAACTGCAATTTCTTAAAAAAAATATCCCCTTTTCACCGTACTTGATTGTCAGCCAATGTCTATGATATTCTGCACTGTAATCTGCATTGAGGCATTGAATAGGGTGACTGTCCTATCTCTCATAAAGGTTATAATTATGCGTCATGTTGCCATGACAAGGGTCGCTCGCCACTCAAGACGTGTTTGTTTGTTTTTATTATTGTTTTTGTTTTTTCGTTACATGTAATGGTGGTCTTTTAAAGTATTTAATCTAGCTGTGGAAATAATGTACTCTCTGTTTAAGATTTAGGTTTTCTGTCATTGGTATTACCATCAAAATGTTATGAAATATAGAATAGATGTTGTCGTCGTGTGGGGGGTAATGTTCATCGTATAGGAGCAACGCGTCAAGAATATCTAAATGGATTAAATGTGCACAGGTGTGGGATGTGACTCATGTGAGAGCTTTTTTTTTTTTTTTTCCCTCTTTCGATATTTAAATTGTAACATGATCAGAACTCCGTTTTGGTATTTTTGTAAGTGAGAGAGAGAGGGAGAGAGAGAGAGAGAGAGAGAGAGGGGAAGATAGAATGCAACGTGTTTCACTTCATTGATCATTAAATCTATTTACAATTTTATCTGTTTTCTTTCTTTAAAATCCTCTCTTTGCATATAGGTCTACACCACGAAGTCACTGAGGCCACAATAATTGCCATTACTCAATCCTCAAGATATAGCTGCCATTCACTTGGAAGTGTTACCTCATTAATGTAGTATATGTAATCTTTAATTATATTATACCTCTTATGCCATACATTAGGGACTTTTAGATTCGCACGAAGACAATAGGTCTATGCTACGATCGACGTCCTTTTAAAGCACTGCCGTGAATGGAAGTACCACGTATCAGTCCACGCAAATCTAAAAGTCCCTATTATCTTACAAGGAGGCCTCAGGAATGGGAAAGCCCAAAGCGGATGCGGTTTATCACGATTTATTTTTAGAAAGCAAAAAATGAATGTGTAAACTGTACGGGACCGACAAAATATATTTTAGCTTTCAGACATAGAAACTAGAAAATCAATACCAACTGCTCAGCAAATAATTTTACCCTGTTCGTATTACATAGTAGTTACCATGGTTACAATAGATGCGTTGTTGCTAGCTCTGGTCAGGTCTCTCACGTCATGCACATACAAGTAAAGATTATATGACTAACATTTGATAGATATATTTAATCATACACACTAATATGTATCATTTAATTATAGCTAACGAAATTGATGGATTGTGGCGAATTATTAGATTTCATATTTCTTTCTTCTTGCCATCCTCAATGAATAGTGAATCATACGTTTCGGGAACTGCTTTAAAGGGATTTTAAAACTAAAAGGAAGAGAGGGATTAACATTTAGTACTCCAAACGTTAAAGAGATAGCCTAGGGGTGCAGTTGTATAAAGTTGTAGTCTTTTAAACCTAAAGCCACGGAGTGGACTAGAGGGCATAATTTTGTCCCAGGAACCTGAATTTAAAAAAGTCCCACAGAGAGGCGATAATTCCTTGGTCTAATGGTTTATTGGTGTACAGTCAGGGCTGCCTAAATGTTATTTATTATCGTCGTCATTATCATGAATGGTGATCTGTGAAAAGCTGTATCTCTCTCTCTCTCTCACTTGTCTAAAAAATGTTCAAATAATGTATAGCCAAACATCAAACCTCTATATGAATAATCGATAAATTGTGGTCATCATTAAACAAACCTATATACAATCAAGACCAACCTAAAAACATCATCAAGCAAATGCCCTATTCGGAAATATTTCCAATGTCATGGTAATTGATTCTTTCCCTAGGGATATTTCCTCATTCAAGGGTATTTTTGAGGACCTCAGACTTTATAGGGCACGACGGAAACAACAGTTGAAGCAGCATGCCAGTTTAATGAATAATGTAAGCCAGGCGCGTACGCAGGGGGGGGGGGGTTTGGGGGGTTAAACCCCCCCCCTTTGGAAATTTTTTGTGTTTTTTGTTTTTTTAATTATTAAAAAAAAAAAAAAAAAAAAAATTATTCCCATGGCCGACCTAAAAAAGGTGACCTTACCCCCCCCCCCCCAACGGAGCAAAATGTCAAATTTCCAAATTTCGAGACCCCCCCCAAAAAAAGTGCCCTCTTACCCCCCCCCCCCCCCCCCCCCCCCCCCCCCCCCCCGCTTATTCAGCGGTCGGCTGAGTCGTTGCGATTTTTTTGGGACCAAAAAAAAAAAAAAATGTGTCCTCTTACCCCCCCCCCCCCCCCCCCCCCGCTTATTCAGCGGCTGGCTGAGTCGTTGCGAAATTTTCGGACCGATTTATAAATGTTAAAACCCCCCCCCCCCCCCCCCTTGAAAAAATCCTGCGTACGCGCCTGATGTAAGCAGAGCTTGAGAAAGAAATGTTCGAAAATTCAGTTTCCGTCTACTTTTTTTCAAAAGCAGTAAACAATAAGAATAATCACAATTCTTACAATAGGTGTAAACAAAATACATAGATAATATCAGGCAATTAACGTTTTTTTTTTAAAGTCGAATTAACATAACGGCGATATAAATACAATTGCATAGTATTTAACTGATATTAGACAAATATATTTGTGGTGAAATATAGTAAAAGGCTAAGCTTATATTGTAGATTCCCTTTCATAGAGAAGAGCAGTCTATAGAGCATGAGAAGAAAAAAATAGGACAATACTTAGCATAGTTCGATCAATAATTTATCGTTAATATTTTTATTTATCATACCGGGATATACCATCGTTGTTTTATGTGTATTCATCATTAATATTTATTTATGGAAATACTTTAATCAACATGTGTGAATTATACTAAGTTTGATGTCGTTTACCATATGTATTCAGTTAATTCAATACAGTGCCTAATCGGTCATGTATTTATCGTTTTGTTTATTTAAATAATAAAATATATAAAATGGGAAACCTATTGACTACATTTCGTATGCGTCTACCATGTGAATATTTAAGGTGCTATATTTTACTGTCAGTGTAATTTCTCTTCTCCCTTTTTCTTATTTACCTTATTTCTGTGACACCGCATAACACCCTAGATAAGTCCCCCCCCCCCCCTTCCCTTATTCAAAATTAATATTTCCATAATGCGTTTATTGCTATATTTTTTTCTCAAAACTTTAACATGATTTTTCCCCTAGCCACCCTAGAAAGTTTGTTTGGCTTCGTCCTTCTTCAACTAATTTTTTTCCTAAAAAATATATATCATCTGGCTTTCGCCTTGATCTTGAAGTTCTGGTGAAATATCTGCCAGGTCACGTGACATTACCCTGGGCATTGCGCAATAGTGTACGTGCTTGATATGACGGATATGCAACTTGCTTGCTCAGGAAATGAACGTGCCTATCCCTTCCTCTTCTCCTTTCTTCCACCCCCCCCCCCCTCTCATATCTCTCTTTCTCACAATTTCTTTCTTTATCTCGCTCTTTCTTGCTCATTTTCTCTCTTTCTCTCGTTCCCTTTCTATCTCTCTCTCTCACAATTTCTTTCTTTATCTTGCTCTTTTTTCTCTTTCTTGCTCATTTTCTCTCGCTCCCTTTCTATCTCTCTCTCTCTCTCTCTCTCACACACACACAATTTCTTTCTTTATCTCGCTCTTTCTTGCTCATTTTCTCTCGCTCCCTTTCTATCTCTCACAATTTCTTTCTTTATCTCACTCTTTCTTGCTCATTTTCTCTCGCTCCCTTTCTATCTCTCTCTCCCCCTCTCTCACACACACAATTTCTTTCTTTATCTCGCTCTTTCTTGCTCATTTTCTCTCGCTCCCTTTCTATCTCTCTCTCTCTCTCTCTCTCTCTCTCTCTCTCACACACAATTTCTTTCTTTATCTCGCTCTTTCTTGCTCATTTTCTCTCGCTCCCTTTCTATCTCTCACAATTTCTTTCTTTATCTCACTTTTTTCTTTCTTGCTCATTTTCTCTCTCGCACTCTCTCTCTCTCTCTTTATCTCTCTCTCTCTCTCTCTCTCTCTTTATCTCTCTCTCTTCCCCCAACTCCTTTCTTATTATCACTCTGATTAATCCCTGTCTTTCTCTTTCTCAATCAAACATTGTCCATTTCTATTTCTCTTCCACTCTCTTTCTGTTTCTCTTTTCCTCATGTTTTCCTTTTTTCCTCTCTCTCTTCATATCTATTGATAAACTGTAACAGGGCAAGCAAGAAAATGAAAGAAAGACAATAAAAGTGAAGGTCTGAAGTCTTATAAATGGATCAAAGTAACGTGATGATAGAGAGAAAAACAAAGATAGCTGTCAGAAGGAGTGAGAGAAAGAACAACAGAGGTTTTAAAATGTTTTAGTGGCCAAGGGGAATGTACAGACACAAAGTGAAATGGGAGAATGATGGGAGGTGGAGAGATAGAGAGAGTATGAATCAGATATAGATATATGACGGAATAAAATACAGAGAGAAAAGATAAAAGAAAATTAAAAATGATTCAAACTAAACAAGAAAATAACTTAATCAAGAAGCAGGAGTAACATCCAAGTATCAAGAAGAAACTAAATTTGGAAGATAAAAATATTACTAATAGTCTTTGCCCCGTGAAATTAAGTATCGTCTCATGTAGACCAGAGCTTTGAATTACATGTTTCCCACAAAACCACAACTACCACACTTTGAACAAAATACTGTAATCTTTTTAGGTTACATGAAAAAAATTGTAGATTTAATTCATCATCAAGATTATTTACAAAATAATCACAATTAAAGTACCAACATTATAAAGAGCTCCTGAAGCAAGTTTTGTACACATGGAGCAGCTATCTTTGCTTAACAAAATGAAATAAACTCAAACAAAATCATGAGATTGAGATAGCTACATCACATCACCAATGCAAGGTTTTTGGGCATATGTGTGTTAAAAATAAAGGATTTCAAACACAAAAAATAGTCAGATGCATGCACCAGAATTACATAACAAACAATTGAATCTACTGGTCCTTTCTCTTTGAGAAACTCTGTTAAACATGTAAGGGGAGCAATGGGGGTGATTATGAGACACTGCCAGCTGTGGCACTGTAAAAGGATGTCAGAACAAAAATTCAGAGTTTACATTATTAAATTTTCAGAGTGAAATTATTATCATGAGTGAAGAATGCAGACGGAAATGTTAAGGATGATCTTTGCTCTGACCTTTGCTATGTTAAACCAATGGAGAAAAGATTTTCTGTAATAATTAGCAAATTAATCAAATAATTCAATTCAATTCAATATATGAGCCTGATGGCATTTTTTTGCTGAATGCCTCCATCATTTTGAAATTCCTGTCAATCCTATGAACATGTGGGCAAGTCCCGGGTATTTCTTCCCAGATGCTACCAATATCACCACAGTCTTTCGTAAACCCAATAATGCTATTAAGTTGATAGCCCTATTAGAGCATTGATCGAGCCACACCGATCAGACCAAATACCACGTAAACTGACATTTGCGATTTCTACTTGCGTTTTTCTTCTCATTGATTGTTGTTAGCGTATGTGACAGCAAATGATCAAATAACTTTGATTTACCACTTAGGGACAAACAATTTAGTTATGATATTTTAATTGTAGTGTATTGGATGGACATACATTTAATGACTAGCATGATTTACACTCATGATTCAAGCATATGTCTATGTTAACCACTTGACCACAATACAGGCAGCAGTGTAGAGAGGCCTACTCTTAAATTCAGAAGATTAAAAACCATTTATTTAGCATATTTTATACAACAAACACAGGAGGTAGGCATCTCGTTACAAAGCAGGACTCACAATAAGTTTGAAATTTATTCATAGTGGATGATTGGCATGGGCGTTTCCCAGTTTTTACACATGTGTACTGTTTAAAGCAGAGTGTATAACATAGCCACATCTTCTTCAAGACTTTCCTCATTCATAGGGGGTTTCCGATTTACTGACATTGGTTAATAATCATGTACATCTTGCTCACTAATCTTGCAGAATAATATAAGCCAACAGAAGCAAATTGTCATTTTTAAGGACCGTCCTTGAGTTTGCTGATCTATCAAGTGAAGGATCGGCTGTATCTGACTTGGTTCTCTCTGCATTGATCATCTCTGAGAATTGTCATTTGAGTTTCTTGATCTTTTAAGTGATCAAGGGATCGACTGTGTCTGCCTTGGTCCTCTTTGCAAATGATCATCTTTTAGAATTGTCTTTGAGTTTGTTGATCTATCTGGTGAAAGATCGGCTGTGTCTGCCTTGGTTCTCTCGGCTACCACCCATCCTGTTTCCTCGCATCGGCTTGGGGGTCAGAAACCTTTAATGGAGAGAAAAAAGGAGATGAGAAAAAGAGAAATGAAGAGATTTGTAAATCATTACTTCTTTATACAGGCCAAATAGCTCCTAGTTATGCACGGTTAAGTAGACAATGATTAATAGGTGTATGCATCAGTGGATTAAATAATGGTCTTGAAATCACAAGCTCCTGGTTTTGCTCAGTGAACTGGTGCTTTTGAGGGAGGCATCAAGCTTTAATTATCTATTCCTTTGTATCGATAGGACTTGGATACAGGGGCCTTTTAAGATAGAACTAGGTATAAGCGTGCACAGGGAGGCCATAACCAATGGTAGTTATCTTTGGTGAATACTCTGGGAAATTTGTGAAAATAACACTCTGGCAAATTCAAAACTACTTTAAAGGTAAAGACCAGTTATGGTCATGCGATTGCATTGTGAAAGAAACGTTGTGGAATCGATCAGAAAAGGTTGATCATCTAGCATCTAGCATCTGCAAGGTTCTGGAATCATCAAAATGATAAGAAATTTGGCCCATTCTTCGTAAAGTTACAAGCACTATACACAGAAAGATGTATATGGGACTACCCTATATCTCTCACAGACCATGAGAGAAACAAATTTACCAAATATATGAATTAGTAGGCGGTTTCCCGGCAAATGTTTTATCATCATGTATTAGTCAAAACATATTCTTTCACATGATTGGTAATGAGAGCTTCCATTTCATTTTTTGAAATTGGGGCTTTTCCAATACTGGTCTTTACCTTTAAGATATAACTAGGTATAAGCGTGCACAGGGAGGCATTAACCACTGGTAGTTATCTTTGGTGAATACTCTGGGAAATTTGTGAAAATAACACTCTGGCAAATTCAAAACTACTTTAACAAGTAAATCTGAAATAGTTATACTTGAACATGTGTTTTTGAGGCGGCTGGAACAAAAAATACTGCTTGGAGATAAGTATCAAAGAAATGTACAGGTGAAAGTCCTTAATGAGGAACAGTATATTGGATGATTGTTGCTGTACCAATGAAAGACATTGAAAGACTGGCTTGGTTTTGAACCCTGAATCACCAAGACATGACTCATTTCTCAAACCACTGCATTACCCTGACATTCAACTTTGTTATGACCACATTATCTATTTTCATTATCTAATTCTTTCACCACCCCTCTTGCTTACTCATGGTTTTAAAAAAAGGTTATCTTTGGCACTGGCCCAGCTATGAAAATCCCCATCAGAGAAAACATTTCAAAACACATGAATGATTCGATCTCTATGTGCTTCATGTTGCAGACGCAAGAGTATATTTATTACCTATTCCTTTATGTAGGATTTAAAGCCATGGGCATTTGAAGATATCATTATCAGCTTTCTGAGTGCACAGAAAAAACAGGCATTAATCAATGGTGGTGATTTACGGTGGAGATTCTCTATTTGGTATTTTGGTGAATACTCTAGCAAAAGAGTGAAAATGACACTTGAAATAATTCAAAACTAATTCAGCAAGTAAATCTGAACAGAAAGATTAAAGAGTCATGCTTGCAGATAAATATCAAAGAAACTTACATATAAAAGACCTAAGTGATGGACTAGATACTGGAGTATTGCTACTCTCTCCATGGCAACTGGTTATAAACTGATTTGGTTTTGAACCCTGAATCGTTCATACCAAATCCTATTCTAAAACCACTTCACTGGTATGCCATTCATACTTTTTATGATCACATTATCTATTTCTATCATCCACTTCCTTCACCACCCCTCTTGCTTACTCATGGTTTAAAAAATAAGTTATCTTTGGCACTAGCCCAGCTATGAAAATCCCCATCAGAGAAAACATTTCAAAACACACGAATGATGTGATCTTTATGTGCTTCATGTTGCAGACTTCAGAGTAGATTTATTACCTATTCCTTTATGAAGGATTTAAAGCCATGGGGATTTGAAGATATAATTATCAGCTTTCAGAGTGCACAGGGAAAAAAGGTACAAACCAATGGTGGAAATCTTTGGTCAAGATTATCTATTTTGCTCTGTTGAATACTCTAGCAAATTGTAAAAATTACAGTACTTCAGCCAGTAAATCTGAACATGTGTATTGGCTGAAAACACAATGATAAAAAAGAGTCATGCTTGCAGAAACGTACATGCAAGAGACCTAGGTGACAGACTAAATACTGGGGTATTGCTGCTCTACCTACGGCAGCTGGTTATAAACTGACTTGGTTTTGAACCCTGAATCTTTCATACCAAAACCAATTCTAAAACTACTGCACTTTTCTGCAGTTTATACTTTTTTTGACCACATTATCTCTTTCTATCATCCACTTCTTCCACCACGTCTCTTGCTAACTCACAGTTTAAAATAAAAGTTATCTTTGGCACTGGCCAAGCTATGAAAATCCCCATCAGTGAAAACATTTCATAACACATGAATGATGCGATCTCTATGTGCCTCATGTTGCAGATGTAAGGTTATTGCAGGTTTTTTACCCAGGGTCACACAGATGTTCATTTTGATATCAAGAATACCCAAGTTTATACATAGACCTCTATAACAGGTGATTGGGTTTCATGACTCAACTTGGTACCTAATGTGCATATGTCCTTCTGGTCACTAAAGAAGCAGAATGCCTGTTTTTATGTATTCAGGCTGATGACAAGAAATGTTATAATGTTCATTTATTTATAAGATCTCATTCCAAATTATTTGTTTAACTGGTGACTACTCTAGAGAATCGTGGCCAACTTAATTCAAATGCTCTATGTATAATGTTACAGCATATCCTATTGTGTCATAGGGTAAATTTGAATGTACTTGTAATATAACCAGAATGAATGATTTAAATATTGACTCTGTTTTCTTCACTTAATGATATCAGCATTTGGAGAGTTGTTATTAGAGTATAAATTGTGATTTCCAACATTTTTTGTGTATTTTGTTGTTTAATACTGAAATAATGCAGCGCCTGTTCTGCCTCAATTGAGAATTTGAATCCTTTCAGTATGTACACATGTAACTACAACATTGTATCGTCTACTTGGAACCAGAAGGACATTAATTCCATGTAAACTTATACCAGTTAATGCCCTTCTGGCTCCAAACAGACAATATGACTATATGTATATATCAGTCCTTACCTGCTACCACCATCCATGCCTCCCCATCTCTCTCCTCCTTGAGAGCTGCTAGGTCGGTACCCCCTTCCTCCTCCTCCTCCTCCCCCACCACCTGCACCTCGGCGGAGGCTGAAGGGTACCCTAGACATGCCCCCACTACCACCACCACCACCACCCCTTCCTCCTCCTCCTGCTCCTCCTCCTTCTCCTCCTCCTCTACCTCCTCCACCTCCTCCTCCTCTCATTCCTCCACCACCCCTGGGGCCACCGTGGGGTTGGTACCCCCGGTCATGACCCCCTCCGCTCCGATTGTAAGGTTGGTCTCGTTGTCCCATACGATTGTCTGGTCCACCACCATCAGAACGGCTAGTACAGGGGAATAACATTGTAAAAAAGATAATGTAGTTGGATGAAAGATGGATTTTTCTTTGGGCTCCCATGTGATAATGTAATATACTTTAAATCTTTCCATTATTTCTTTTATCTTTAAACCACTCTAAAATCTTTAATGTAGTATGTAATAACACAACTACGACTTGTTGACATAAGCATGTGCAAGAAAACATATGGTGGTCGTGTCAACTTTTTAAAACTTTCAACAAATGGTATCATTTTGAATTGCGCAATAGATCCAAACTTCCCACCAGTAAGTATGTAACTACATGTATCTGTTTTTCCTCAACATACATGTATTTGTAACATTAACATTTGTATCCCTCAGTCCTTGCTCGAGTTGCGAAACTACAGGATTGACATTGTTGAACTAATGTAGATTCTACCTTGGAAAGAACGATACTAAATTGGGATGAGATTTACATCTGAAGTTTTTAAAAAAATTATTAAAAAAAAACTTTTAAAAAAAGCCAGAGTAGTAGGTCAAGGTACGATTTTCTCAATGCACCATGTTTGTATATTTAAAATACATGTTGTTTCAAGAGCACCCAAATATTTTCCAATTTATCTCTCCATGTTTTCACAATAATTTGACCTATTTTACAATGTATATATTTGGGCTATTAAAATCATCACTGAAATTGTGGCCACAGTTTTCTTTTACAGAAAGAACATCAATTCAAAGTATGAACAGGTCTTACAAATCTCATTTAGAAATAAAAATCGATGAAGTAATCCAATTTTAAGAAATTTGGATTTTCATTATTTTGACATAGCCGATGGTATAAATTTTGCAAAATTTCCTACAATATTTCTATGATTCAGCTGCACAAGAGTGTTATTTATTTTCTCCTACAACCTTTGCCCAAACCAAAGATTCAATGTCTTTGAACTGGATGAAGAAAAGATCGCCATACAAGTCAAATTGTCAGCACTACAAAAATCTAGGACAGATAGTGTGTTGTGCCTAATCTACCAACTTCATGGGATTCAAGTCATGTCTACAGTGCTGGGTCCTAGAAAAACCCATGATTTGATGCTAATGATACCAGAAGACTCACTTTCTTTGGGGGAATCCCCTAGGTCCACCACCTTCAAAGGGTCCTCTCTGCTGGCGGTTGACCCATTGACCTCGGCCACGCCCTCCTCCACGTCCCATCGGGTTACCTGCAAAACACACACCACAGAGTTCAGAGGTCAGCTCAAAGAAATATGCCTGAAATAATATCCTTGATTTACTTTATCACATGCAACCTAGTTAGAATGTCTACCAAAAAGCATCTTAATAAAACATGAATTCTGCTGCATTATTTAAAATGGATTTATTGTTTTATTGTTTTTCTTACTGGGGTTTGTCCTATTGAGCAGTGTAAAGACACCATTTCGTTTCATAAAACTGTGCAAGTACAAGTTCGCCAACATACCACTGAAACGTGTGGTTATTCAATACATGCATTTAAATTGATCACCGGTTTGGTGAAGCGTTGCCATTGTTAAAACGGTCAGTGCGTAGTCACACGGATATATCGATTCGAAAAAGACGTAACACACACAGCATCCTCTTGGATGAAGGATCGATGCACACCAATATCTTACCATCGTCTCTTCTGTAATTTGGTCCATTCCAAGAGCCTTGGTTGTTATGGAAACCACCTCTGCCTCCTCGCATCCCACCCCTCTGAAAATCACCTCGAACGTTCCTTCCTGGTGGGCCCTATTAGATACAAAATATGATGAAAAACATCATACGATATAAGTGCATTTAAATATACATGTGCTTCATAATTACATTACTGTGCGCTGATAATGGCTGCTGGAGCTAAAGCTTGGGTAATAATTTCAAAAGCTCTTTGGAAGTGCATAGAGATGTTATTTCATAACGAATTATGCGCTATACAAGAACTGAATATTATCATTTTTATTATCATTTTTATTATTATTATACTAACGAAAAATAAACTTCCATCAACACAACTGAACAAACTCATTGCATTTATCTAACTTCATTCCTTTTTGTTCATCTTTCTCAAGTCGATTGCTCATACTCTCTGTGATTTGCCTCTTACTGTTAAAAGGCTAATAATTAGATAGTAACAATCTCAAAAGTCTAGTTTCTGATCGAAACGATTGCTCATACTCTCTGTGATTTCTGTTGTTGTTGGTTGCCACCATCATTCTCTGCGCACATGAAGTCATCGACGTGCATAGAGGGCGGTCTACTGGTGTTCTGAGCACGCTGTCTGAACAGATCGTATCCTCCACGCCCCCGGCGACCAAAGTCCGGCCTCCCATAGCCTCCTGATAGCGTAACAAAATAAAATGTTAGAATTGTACCAGTTTCAGTTAGCCTGGTGGTGTCCTTTCATTGTCATATAGCACAGTAGAGGTGTTGTGGCCCAGTGGATCAGTTTCTATATTGTGAACCACAAAGTACAGGGTTCAAATCCCTGTCACAGCATTAAAGTCCTTTGGCAAGACATTCATCTACATTTGCCACACTTTACCCAGGTGAGGCAAGTGGGTACCTAGTCATACAAGACTCCACTGTTATTACTATCACTATCATACGACTGCCGTGGGTACGAAGTTCTACAGAACATGTGCCCGCAACACATGCTCCACTGCCAATTTCCTGAACTAACCCAATTCCTAACTCCAATCATTGACCAGAACTATACCGATCATTGAAACTAACCCTAAGTCTAACATTAAATCCATCTGCAACACTTACCATATCCCTAGATTTTCGACAAAATAAAAACTGCTGTAAATGATGCCAGAGTAAACTTTAGGTAACTGGGTACATTGGAGACATGCTGAACAATAGGTAGGATTTAACATGCTTTCGTCCGAGTAATAATAATGGAGCACCGCGAGCAGCAGAGTGCCAGACATGAGCGCTATACAAGACTCTACTATTAGTATCATTATTATCATACGATAACCATGGGTAACCAAACTTAACTAACCAAATCCATAACTCCAATACTGGAACAAAACTATACTTAGCCCTAAGCATATCCTTAAATCCATTTGCCAACACTAACCATACCCTGCAGCAAATGATGCCGCAGTAAACTTCAGGGTACTAGGTACAAACTCAGTAATCTATTAGTTAATTGGAGACATGCTGAACAATAGTAAGGATTACATTTTTTTTTTAGTGTATATGACCAACAACAGTTCAATGGGAGATTTCATCTATGTATCTTGGTCTTGTATTACAACAAATGCCTTCTCATTGATGTCCTTAGTGTGCTCTTCAATGTAAGGAATAATTTTGTGACTACTAGTAGATGTCAGACTAATACATACTGTGTGATCTACGGATTGCACCGGCACCTTTGTTCCCTGTACTGAATGTTAGAGGGTTGTAACGTCTGTTCAGGCCCCTGCAAACAAAACAATTATGAAAACAATTTAATAAACTAGTACATACTGGCCAAACTATAACAACAATAACAAAATGAAACCTGCACTAAAGCCTTGTTCAGATATGAAGAGCAAAAAAAAAAAGATTAAAAAAAAAAAATTGCATAAAAGGTAACATGCTTCACATTTCTGAATCTTATAACATACGGCGTGTTTCTATCTAAAGCCATTATCCGGTTAATGGCCAATAAGGGATAAATTTTTCCTAATAGATACACACTTTATCCGGCATTATCCGGATAATGCCGGGGAGAGTGATGACGCGTTCACTGGCAAAATTATCCTTCTTTAGAAGGATAATGCAGGGGAAGCTAACCGGATAACGCAAGTAGAACCACACCCCGTTCCGATTGAGTGCACATACCGGGGAGAAACCGGAAATCGGAGTGATCACGTGATCAGAATATTTTAACCCTACGCGCGCGACACTACAATCACAGGTTGACCTAGCAGTCCCACAATACTTTGCGGTGACCTTAGCCAGAGTTCGATGAACTTTTTCATGGCCTTTTTCCTGGCTAGATCGGAGCAGTGTATTTTATCCGGATAATGCACGTAGATATAAACTGCCCTTCCCTGGCATTATACGCTTTCTTCAACCGGATAAATTCAGTATAACTAATAGAAACACGCTGATAGAGCTGAGTGAATACATGAGGACCATTGTTGCATGCAGATGCCTTTAATATACACTTAAAACAATGTAGTATTGTTTTTTGAGGGCGGTGATTTACCGTGTAACATCTGGACAAAGATCATGTGACATACCTCTTCTTTTTATCAGGTGACACATCTTCCACACCAAGTCCCTTAGCAAGCTCCGATTGAAGGTCAAAGTTTGGCAATAGTTTGGCCCTGATCTCCTCCAGGTCACAGCGAGCCTGCACATCGGACAAAATGGGGTTCGTCAGAAGAAGTATGATTAAGCCTAGTTCTCTATGGCATGCATAAAGTGTCTATGCTGTCTACTAGAATATTCAAACGAAGATATTTTTACACCATATTTACACTAATCTGTCTAAAAAATCTCAAACAAAAGACGTTTTATATAGGAAGACTAGATAGATACTAAAATTTATGGACTTAATTACAAAAAATCGGGCTTAGTCTTCTTAATCAACTCAGTAAATTTTTCTTTTAAAAGAAGCAAAAAAAATGTAGGAAAAAAAATGGATGGATATTTTCAAACAAACCTAAAAATTGTAAAGTAGTACATATAACAGCTATTGATTGTTTGCTTTTTTTTGCACTGTAACAAACTATATACACAACATAAAGTAGTACATATAACAGCTATTGATTGTTTGCTTTTTTTTGCACTGTAACAAACTATATACACAACATAAAGTAGTACATATAACAGCTATTGATTGTTTGCTTTTTTTTGCACTGTAACAAACTATATACACAACATGATGCAAAATTTGAATCTACCAGAGAAAAATGAGGTCTGGAAAGCAGTGAGGACAAACCTTTTCTTCAGTGAATATCAGTTCTTACCATTTCTGGCTCTGTATCCAGCTCATCAAGGGAAGGTAGACCCAACCACATCCCTGTGGTCACTCTCTCGTCATCGTCCTCGGTCACGTAGAAGACAAGACGGCCGTTGAACTGCTCATGGAGACCCATACTGTCAGGTAGCATGGTGTACAGTGGGTTTGGTACCTTGGTTTCAGGGCTGTCTAAGGCTTGAAGGAGAGAGCTGACTGTGTCCAGGAGGTGCTCCATGGTCTCATCATGCTTACAGCAATCCTGAGTTTAATAACAAGACAGGAAAGGAGCGTTTCATTTTACCAAATGAAAATATAAATTATATATGATCGACCATGTGTATTGTTCCCTGATTAAACATAGATTATTAGTAAAACAATCTGAAATATGTATCAAGAATATCTTTATGAATGACATTGGAACATAACTGAGATCAAATCCTTTAGTTTACGTCGTTTTAAAATCTCTTCAACAATACTATGCTTCATTTCCTCTGCAAAGTTGACTTCCGATGTTCATCAAAGCATGTTCATCAAACCTTTTTTTTGTTTGTTTGTTCGTTTGTTAACTCCTAAAAAACTCCTAATTTTCCTACTGTATCCTCCACTCTGGCATTCTCAACATCCCTCCCGCAGCACTGTTAGCAAAACCATCTATCTGTGCATTGTCGAGATTCGACTTTGAATGCCAGTTTTCAAATTTTCAGATCAGTTTTGTTGTTGCTATTATTGTTATTATTATTGTTGTATTTTCTTTGTATCCTCGAATGTATGTATATATTGTTTATGTTGCTTGTATACGTATGTCACTCGCCAGTGGAGGACGAATTTCTGCATTTTTTAAAATCAGACAATAAATTATCTTGCATCTTGAATCTTGAAGCTTGAATCTATCTAACACACAAGCCATCTCCAAAAACCCTGAGACTACATACCACCAGGATCTTCTCCAGCCTCCTGAGGGGGTGCGCTGCATCTTCCGACCACCTGAGAGACTCTCCAAGCTCCCTCACATCCATGGCCAGCGTCCTGTACCCTCCAGCTACCCCTCCTGCAGCTCCTCCCCCTTCCTCCCCCATGCTGGCTGTCTCCTGGTCTCCCTCCCTGGTGAGCAGGAGGTGGAGCAGGTCCAGGGTGTTGGACAGGGTGGAGAGGTAGTCGGAGCTCTCCCTGCTGAAGGCCTCCGTAAGACGGCCAAGGAGGCTGTGGAAGGCTCCCGGTCTCTTGTCCAATGAGCTGCATTTCGCACGCAAAGAAAAGTGTATAACACCTTGAAACAGTGGCTGGTTCTCAAAAGGATCTCTGTTAACAGACTTTGACACAATGGAATTTAAAATCCATGCAGATAGCGAAGAAATTTCATTAAAATTTCATCTCCAGAATACATGTACAGGGCCCCGTATTATAAAGAGTTATGATTGATTAAAACACGATGATCCATAGATTTACGTTTAATATTAACCTTACGATCAATCGAAAGGCTTTATAATACATGGCCCTGGTGTATTGGGTGAATAATATTTAAAGCCAACAAGCAATCAATCTCATAATTTCCTTATAATTCAGAGAAATCAAGAGGTTTTTTACTGCTAAATATATAAGCCACAGTAACAGTACATTTGGATTTATAAGGCACCATTTATGCAGCAACATATTCCAGAAAAAGTAGTCATGGTTCCACAAGTGACATCCCCATCCTTTTACGCTCAATGTTACAGCAAGGGCTACTTATGACGGGCAAGAATCCTGACATGTTCCCAGACTCTGAGAGAACTCTGACCCTACCTCTTGAGGTGAAAGAATCCATAGTTATGATCCAGGAGCATGGTGAGCATGCGTAGAGCCGGGAGGATGCTGGCGTAGGAGTGGTTAGGACTGGTCACGTGATCCAGCAGGGCTCCGCAGACCATCTCCATGTGGTCTCTAGAGGGCAGGCTACAGGCTAGATGTTCACTCATCAACATGGTCTCCGAGGACATGAGGGTGATCTCAGGGTCGCACAGAGACTGCAAGAAGGTCTGCCAAGAGTGAAGACATTTCCAGAAATTTAATCATACCTCGCTCACCTCCCTTTCTCTTTTCTACTCCCTTTTCTTTCCCTTTCTATTCTTTTTCAAGTCATTTTAGCATTACATAATACAATGTCGTTTAAAAAAGAGACCACTATAGTTCAAATGAAGACAGAAACGCTGCATACAAGTGAAATTTAGTTTGAAGAAAAACAAAGATAAGGAAATGGCAACATGTGCTTTATCTAACTTTCAGTGAAATCTTTTCTTTCAATTATAATACATAGGTAGAGAATAGATAAACATAATGCATAGACCAAAAAGTCAAGAAATTTGACACATAGTAATGATCATTTTCTTTCCAGTTCCTCTATCCAATAGTTTCTTATTTAATCTTCTCTACTTACCACAATGCACTCTTGGGCCTGTTGGTGACTGGATGCTCTAGATGGCTCGTTCAGTAACGTCAGTAACCGTGGCAACACACCGACAAACTGCTCATCAGCCTTTGCACTGTCCAAGACAAATTCATGTCGAAATAAGACAACACATTATGATTTATCAGAAACTTTTTATTTTTCCTTGGGGGGTGGGAGGTGGTTTGTTGTTTGTTCTCCTGATAAACTGTACTAACATTTCTTTGAGCAAGGTAACATGAACTACTTTTCCCTTATTTCTCTGAATTCTATATATAGCTACCAAGTGTAATAATGAAACATTCAGAGTTTTAGAGAACTGGGAGAAAGTCTCAATGAGAAAGGTTCTCAGTTGTAAATATTTGTGAAAATGTCCAGACCACAGATGTTGTCTATCAAAAGTATTGTCCAATGTTGGCAATTTCTTCAGAATTTACTGTTTTCATCAAGTTGTCCCTAAATTGTCTACATTTTTCTGGCCTAACCTACCCCACAGTTCATAATGATTACACAATAACAATTTTTTTTTTTGAAGTCTTCTAAAAATGCCTCATTGCAAGTACTCAAAATTGCCATACCTGGATCTTGAAAGCTGAAGGAATGCTGCCTTGATGGCCGGTTGAGAGATGAGATAGACCAAGAGAGTAAGAACTCTAGTAGCATCGGCATTACACGGTCTTTCTTTACTACTACCCTCATCTCTAGGTTCCAGGCACGACAACAAGGCCTGGAGATAAGACCTGGAACAGATAGACAAACATAATAAACAGAGACAGAGTGAGTGAAATGTCTGTGGGGGGGGGGGGGGACTGAGAACAAATTGAGACAAACAGTAAGATATGAGAAAAGGATCACTGAGTCGAAAACAGGAAATTGTTAAGGGTGCTTATCAGCATTAAAAATACTCTCTAATTTCGATACTTGCAATATCCATTTGTTACACATATCAAGAACTTCAAAATGAACCAAGAATGATCAAAAGGGCATCTTCATGTTATCCTCGATAACATCATCTATAATTTTTGTCCCTACGTAAAATAACAAAATCAGTTAGGGAATATCATAATGCACCACAATATATAATGGGCAGTTATGCTACATCAAAAGCAGTTTCCTCAGTACGTGCTTAAGCAATAAATTCTCCGCTGTCAGTTGCCTACAATACCTGAATTCCTAACTTCAGCAATGGGCCCAAACTAAACCTAACCCTATCCCTAAACCTAATCTATTGCCTAATCACAACATAATCATAGCTTTACTTTAACAAAACAAAGCCTAACTGCTCAAGATGGCGATCTCCTGCGTTCTGAAATTGATCTCTTTAGTTCAATGAAAAATATATACAAATATCTGTTATACTCATTTGTATGATTTGTATTATGGTTATTGTATAATATTATTAAACATGATTTGCTATGTATGTACTACTTATGTGAAAATGTATAACCTTGTATTTGTTGTTTGAAAGCAGAAATAAAATCAATCAAACAAACAAGCCTGCCAGGGCAAATGTCACTGGATCCGAATGTCGCTAGAGCAAGCATCAAATCACCCCAAACTAACCTGATGACCACCAGAGCTGTTGAGCCAGCCAGATCAGCCAGCTGGCAGCTGAACCTCCTCAGGAAATGTTGAAGGGCGGGGAGCTGGAGAGGGATAGCTCCCCCAGGATCTTCTGGATGGAGGCAGTCTCCGAGTGGAGATGAAGGCTCCACAGGCGACGCAGGTTCAGAGCCTGCTGCACCTCCAATTCAGACAAACTCTGTGTGTGAGAAGTAGGAGAGGAGATTTTAGTAATCTGAAGACGCAGCAGTTACAAGACTTAAGTAATCTTAAAAAGGCCAGGTTGTTTTGGCGCTCTCTCTAAGCCTTAGGAGGGAGAGGGGGAGATTCCACCCCATCCCCTAGGATCTTGGCCAAGAAGAATTAACAAAGAATTCTGAAAATTGACATTTTCTATTGAATATGCACATGCAATTGTATATACATATAGGGTTTGTGAATTATCGGTAATTAACTATTTACATGTTCTGACATTGACGATTCTGCATTGTGTACAATGCATGTGGAAAGACATGTGCAGGTAAGTCAAAATTGTATCAATTTGGGATTAAACGCATGCGTAGGACTCTAGGCCATAAAGTCATGAAAGCTTGTGGCACAAAAAAAGAATACATCCTGAAACATATCACGGCATGCGTCCGGGGGTGGATTCTGCCACCTCCTCCTCCTTCCAGACAGGATCTTGATAAGTGTATTTGCAGCATCAAGTCTTTCAAACCCAACCTGATGTCTTCTTTATTGTATAATATGGTCATAGCTTTTTGCGTGATGGCTTCCAGAGTGAATGACATACCTCTTGTGTCTGCATGGGTAACGGGAGTGGCAGCAATTCAGACAGGAGTTGTAAACCACCAATAAAGGCAAAGGGGGCGGAGGGGACGTACTCCAACAACGTGTGCAACATCCTGGTCCAACAGCTCTTGGCAATGTCTGCAGATAGAAAGGGAGAATGTTGTCAAATATTTGTCAGAAATTTGTCAGAAAAAAATTTACTTCTTGAGTTAGCAATAGTAATGCTCATGTTGCGCTCATATTACCCGTAAAGGAAATATAGTACTCTCACTTTAACTTGAAGTATCCAATCATAAATGTTTCATATAGCTAGGGACCAGCCCCACACAAGACTTAATTGTTCTTTCTTGCTGGTTCCTCATTCCTATATATATTTGTATTTTATGTTTGTCTTTCGTTATGTTATTTGTATGTTCTTTACTTATCTGTAAATATCAATGTTATAATCATGTATGTTTTTATATGACGAATGAAATAAAATGAAATTAAATGAAAATGTTTCACATTCATCTCAGAGCTAGAGTTTTGATATATTCTCAGTGCACAGCATAAAATCATAACTCCACCATGAGACTTTAAGATTGGACTTTTACACCTTTCTTTACAAAATTAAGCCCTCTGATTCAATGGAAATACAGTAATTTCACTTTAAACCCGAAGTATCCAATCATAAATATATCACATTCATCTCAGAGTTAGAATTTCGATATATATTCTCAGTGCACAGCATAAAATCATAACTCTACCATGAGATTTTATAATTGACTTTTACACCTTTCTTTATAAAATAAGGCCCTCCGATTCAGGGCACAGTTGGATCTGAGTGATCCTAACTTGGGATGATCACCAAAAAACTTCTAGGACACAAGCTTCAGTTTCGATTGCATACACTAACTGAATTTGCAACTTCATCTTAGATCAAACACCATACCGGACTCTTCTCCTTACCCTACACCTTCCATAAACCCAAGAGCAAACCTAACCCTACATCTTGAATTAAATAAAGCCTGTAGCAATTGTCATCAGAGCATTTGTCAGAGCATAAACAGGAATCTATAGTTGCAGCACATGCAGTATAAAAACTTGATACTAATATGTCATTAAAGTGTACCAATCATCAAAAAGCATACTGTTCTCTGTGTGTTTAGGGGTTCCCTGTGGCTATACTTTATACAAAGAAATTAGCTTAAAATATTACTCCTATATTAAGAGATACTGCAGTTTTAAAAAACTCTTGATTAACATAAAACCGACTTGGGGTAACCTACTTGCCTATTTGTATAGAATACGGCCCTCATGGAACCCACATCCTACTTGGTTCCATGAACAAGGTGCGAGGTTTTATGTGTTCTACTCCATATCTTCTTCATACTACTTATCCGTTGGCCTATAGAATGCTGGGAAAAAGCTTTAGGGGTTGATTTGATAAATTCTAGCTGTACAAAAACGATTTCTTGGGGGGTGTTTGGTACGCTGTAATTCCTGTAAGTCATTTCCATGTACAGACTTAAGGGATGTCCTACCTGCTTCCGTCTGCTCCTTGATCTCACCCATTGGCTTGGTGAAGGTCATGAGAATGTCAACGATACCATTCTGGATCTCGGACGCCGTGTTGCTAAGGATACCGCTGGTAGGAGCAGAGCAGATGACTGTGTGCAGGAGAAGCAGGTTATTCACCAAGCGTTCATCACAGTACTGCATGGATGAGAGAGATGCACAAGAATGAAAGAAAAAACATTGTTAAGAACTGAATTATTCATACCCCGTGTAAATTTGATGTTTTTTGTGTCTTTCGTAACTCAAGAATGAAAGGTGGACTAGTTGATTAAGGCATTTTTTAATACTTTGAGGTGTAGGCTTTAAAGATGAAGTTGAGTTCTGGTCATGCGATTGCATTGTGAAAGAAACGGTGTGGAATTGATCAGAAAAGCTTTATCATCTAGCATATAAGTATTCGTGTGTATTGCAAGGTTCTGGAATCATCAAAACGATAAGAAGTTTGGCCAAGTTTTGGTAAAGTTACAAGCACTGTACACAGAAGGATGTATATGGGACTACACTAACACATGGCATAAAAATCTGTCCTGATTTGTATCATGTTACATGCCATATTTAGAATATGAAGGCATTTGAAGAGCCATGCTTTTTAGGGAACATATTTTATCTGATGTTCTTCCACCCTTGCATAATAACAGTGATAACGCTCACAAATTATTTTTCACCTCTTCCCAGAACTCAAACTTCTCTTTAATATGTCACATTCTCAAGAAACATAAATTGGGACAATCAATTTTTCACATAATTAAAAAGTTGGTAAGGGTATGAAAAATTTAGTTGTTTACTGTACGATATCAGACAGGCAAATAAATTCTATAGGTATGTATTAATTTGTATTAGTATACACTTTTATTGGGATTTCATATCAATGGTTATAATTTCATTAATTTTCATTGAAGTTTTTTACTAATTTTTATTAGAATAGCAGTTTAACAATGTCTGCGAAACAGGCAGAGGGGTAATTTCAAAGAATATATACATTGTTTCTGAATTCACAAAGCAAGCGTAGATTAAAGAGAAATAAAAGAAGTCTGTAAATATAACTGATAATGCAAACAATATCAAATATGCAAATGGATTGATATTGGAGTACATATTTATTTTTTGTTGGTACACTTTAAATGTGTCCATCAATTTATACATTAGGTACACCAGTATGTATCACAAATGTAAACAAAACAACATTCCATTACCATTTAAGGACAAAAACACATATTTTGACTGTTTAAAGGTAAAGACTAGTTATGGTCATGTGATTGCATTGTGAAAGAAACGTTGTGGAATCGATCAGAAAAGGTTGATCATCTAGCATCTAGCATCTGCAAGGTTCTGGAATCATCAAAATGATAAGAAATTTGGCCCATTCTTCGTAAAGTTACAAGCACTATACACAGAAAGATGTATATGGGACTACCCTATATCTCTCACAGACCATGAGAGAAACAAATTTACCAAATATATGAATTAATAGGTGGTTTCCCGGCAAATTTTGTATCATCATGTATTAGTCAAAACATATTTGGTAATGAGAGCTTCCATTTAATTTTTTGAAATTGGGGCGTTTCCAATACTGGTCTTTACCTTTAAGATCGCTATTAGACACAAAGATCATCTACACATCACTTGTTATAGTCCCACATATTGTCATTTAGTGACATACCTGGGTATCCTTGTACTCCAGTAACTGTGTCAGCATGCCTTTGACGAGTCGTAATAGACACAGCACCATACTCTCCAGCATGTGGGTGTGGCCACTAGCAAGGCTGATTCCTTGTTGCCATGGGCGCAGCATGTAGTCGGATACTTTCTGCAAGTATGAGAGGTACGGAGAAGCATTCATAAAACACAGGATCTCTAAAAACTATTAAGTATAATCAGAAAACATCATACCAACAGTATTAACAGGAAAGGGGCAAAATTTCAAAGGCATTATTAAACAGCAATTCCTGTATATAAAACTGAATGACTTGGATAATAACTTTTCCCTAACAAGAATTTATATTTTGTAATCACTAGATAATGTATAATGCAAGCTGTAAGAAAATAAGTTCATTGTATGTTCGCTAATTTAAAAATTAAAGCCAATAAGTGGAAGGCAATCCAAATAATGTACTCTGCCAATATGAGACAGCAAGGAAGAATATATGAAGAAGGTTTAAAAAACATTTTGAAAATGATCACAAACTACTAGGAGAGATTCTGACTGTGCACTGTATGAATTCATATTTGATAGAGAAACATGATTAACTGAAAGTCACTGAATGCATCATGCTTGGTCATGGAGATGTTTATTATTTTACTGTGTAGATTTGAAAAGGGACAGGATGTTCATACCTTCATACAGGTGGTGAATGCAGAGAGAGCTCCCGATGTAAAGACTTGCATCGTGGCAACCTTGTACTTTAAATCCACTTGAAGACCTGGGTAAAGGCAAAAGAGGGAGGTAAAGCAGGATATGAATATGTTAAGAAAAAAAATCCTAGTCTTTCCTACTTCCTCTTTTTCTATTTCTCCCCCCCTCCCTCCCTCCCTCCTCCCTTTCTTTATCCATCTGTCTCCTTCTTGTCTCTGATTGTCAACCAATCTCTCTCTATCTCTATTCCTATCACAATCTTTAGCTCACTTTCTCTCCATCTTCCTACATTTTTTGTAACATTCATTTATTCTCAACTTTTTTTTAAATACAATTCTAATTTTCTCCATTGTCTCATATTCCAAACAACACTAAAAAGTCATGAAGAAAAAAAATGATACCTTTTTCGGCCATGACCTTCGGTGGGCAGACGACGTGCTGCAGTGTCCTGAGACACGTCAGAATGCCAGGAGCTGTATTGGTAAGGTTACTTGTCATCTGAGTCATGTTGAGGTTGAGGTATTCAGTCATGTTGCTGATACAGCTAGCATCGATCTTGATGGTCTTCAGAGGCTCCACCCACTTATGGACGACTGAGCCAGGGAGAGAAGGAACATAAAACAAATATTGTGATCAACCTTAATGATCGTGCATTCTTTATTAATCCCCAATTCGTGGAAGAATCAGCCTGTTCGTATTCAAACAGAAATCATTGATGCTGTTTATGTTGTAATGGCAATCAGTCAAGAGCTGACTATAATCACCAACGCCTTTCTTTTTAATATTAATTTCCTTATTTCTCTTTTTCTTTCTTTTTGAAATATATAATGGGGATAACAGTATACAAAATGATGGGCTTCTCTCTCTTTTTTTCTTCTCCCTTTTCCAATCCTATAACCATAGCAACATTTATATCTTGCACATATTCATCCCAGCCGATGCTCCAGGAGATCACAAAGTAGCATTATCACCCTGGCTCTTAACATTGTTAGAGTTAAGAAGGAGAATTCTGTAACTTACTGTGTTCCTCTGTGCAGCTTTCCAAGAGGGCAGAGACATTCTTGTGCATGAATGGAATGTCTTCAGAGTACTGTACAATGAGCGTGAGCAGCTGGGCTGCATAGCCATAGGTTGCAGTCTTCTTGCTTGTCAGCAGGACTTTCTCATCTCCTGTCAAATTAGATTTAGACATAAATGATTGTGTTAAAATTAATTTCGATTTTATTCTGGATGATTTCTACTATCGGCTAATGAGGAAAGCCTTTTACAGGACCTCAGGTTTTTTAGTGATCCCCAGACATTACTTTAATAGTCTGATTTTGATTGCATTCTGTATTCTTGTCTTGTATGTCATTGTTATTCTCTTTAGATTTCTAAAAGATAAAGTGAAATGAAAAAATATAAAAATTAGAAAAAGATGATAGCTTACTGCTCCACATTTGAGTTGTTGCAAATTAAAAAGTTTTGAGGCTAAATGCCTTACTGCCAAGTGAGTTTGAAAGAAAGAGACGATGAGATGATAAGGCAGGAGCAGAATCAAAGAGTGTTTAGGTGTAAGAGAAAAGGAAACACAAGCCGAATTCAGGAGAAGTGGAAATAGAGGCAAAGAGAGATAGAAGGTAGATACAGGTATCATGCTTCTCAAAAACTTAGAGAAATGCGCTCTCCCCTCCCCCTCCCCCCCCCAAAAAAAAAATTAAGAACAGCTTTTGTTTAAATCAAATTCTCACCTGTGTCTCTTGTCTCCATGAGATGCGCTAGCGGCAGGAGACATTCCAAGTTATCAGCCATGCAGAACACCCTAGCCAGGGCCTGCCTACCATGAGGGCTACTCCCTGCCATCATGTACGCCCTGCTCAACGCCCCCAGTATCCCCTCGTTCTCGACCCGGGTCAGAAGGTCATTGGAGGTCGTACGATGCTGCTGATAAGGTCAATGTAATGTAGTGTGCTTTGGGTGTAGACCAGGCGGAGACCTAGCTGGTGCAGGCTGGTCTCAAATTCAGTGGATTCCTCATCGCCATAGTTACTGGTGAGTGATTGGAAGAGGGCCTTGCAGGTTTCTACTTCGCTGAACATGTAGAGGAGGCCTGTTTGAAGGTGACGCAATTTCAATGCAAAATTTTCAAGAATGCATTTTTCTTCCTGACACAACTATTTACTTAATATAAAGTGGGTTTTATTTTGCTTTTGAAAATATAAAAAATCCTTAAACACAAAATAGATGCACTTATTTTTGTCTGCTAGGGGTGATTTTATTTGTGATTTCTGCTCAAAACAATATATCATCAGAGTTTGACACTTGCCTTTAATACTGATTTAATGATTACTGGCAGAGCCACTAGGATATTTGCTGTAAATCAAAGGACTTCTGATTTTCATAATTAGTATTACCCACTTCTGCTCCTCCTATTCCTCCTCCTGATATCTCTACATCCACTTACATCACTTCTCTCACTATCACTTCATCTAGATACACTGATCACAAGAATGATGTTGGTCTTTTGTTTTAAAGGGATGCTGCAATTATAATTAGAAACCTTTAGGTCAGTCAGGAACCCATGACTTATACAAGCCGGCAGCCTGTCTGTTTATCAAGATATTTTTTATTGGAAATCAAAATTTCAAAAAACGTTTTCTTAACGGTTTTTAAAAACACTAGTCTATTGGGAAAAATCAGTATGGCAAAACTGGTCACTCAAAGATTTTATATTTTTGAGGCACTTCATGATCATTTTGAAGCGCAATTTACGGCTTCAATATAACAACACATCATAGACACTGATAACGCGTAGGGCAATGCATCTCAAATTAACATTGTTAAACGATGCCTTTAATGTTCATATCGATAATGCTGATGGTGTCCTAGTACGGTCACGAATGTTCTTCTTACCTGGCCAATGGTCAAGCATGTCACTCAGGATCTCACTGATGATACTACTCAACGTCTCATTGGATGAAGTGACAGGACAGGAGAGCAGGAGAAGCAGACTCTCCAAGAGATTCCTGGAATTGGAAGAAGAACAACAAAAAAATCTCCATTTGAATTAAGGTGCTCATTTCAATTGGATTGGCTCCAGTAAATATCAATTAGATACCTCTATGAAGCGCATAGAGACATTATATAATGCGCTATACACGAACCAAATATTATTATTTTTATACTGAAAAATCATATATAACATAAACACTACAACTATTTCTTTACACATATTCAGGCTGGGCATAAGTGGGGAAGGAAATGAACTGGAAAGGTTACTTTTAATGATTATAAAAACATGGACAAGACCAAACCAAAGATTTAAAGGGGGGGTTGCAGCAGGAAGAGAGGGAGGAAACCAGCAAAAATGGAAAATGCATAAATAAATAAATAATTATTCATAAATTAGTCTAATACCATTTACATGGTGAAATATAATGTGTACAAGTACAAGTAGGTCACATCTATCCAATAATGTTGCTAAGCCTTAGCCATTGTCTAATGGGGTGTTGCAAGAAAGTTGGGATTGATCGCAAGTTGCAAAATTTGCAACTGATATTTGCAATCGATTGCAACTCAAACGCCCCACTAGTCTCCTTAATTTCCGAGGAGTTGTTAGGATTAAGTTTATCAATTAGATTAAGTTACTTAGATCTAGCTTTTATTTTATCTCTCTCTCTCTCTTATTAATGGGGCGTTGCAAAAAAGTCGACTTGCGATCAATTGCAAATTTGCAATTAATTGCAAGACTAACGCTTGATTTTGGGGATTTGCAATCGATTGAAACTTTATTGCAACACCCCATAAGTGCACCTTACAGTTATTGGAATTGTGGGACTGAGACAGGACAGATTCATTCTTGAACAGGTGGGACTGAACATGAACAAATGTAAGCACTGACCATACCTGTGTTTGAACATGTGACACATGACAGGCCATGGATCCGGTGCCGGTGGGCTGTTGATAGTCACTGAGGTGGGGAAAAGTGGTAGCTTGGTTTGAGGCTGCATCTGAATGCAATAGAAAAAAAACAATTTAAAGGTGAAAAATAAGTTTAGAAATGCATATTGAAGGAATCATTGGCAGATGGGCATATCTAAAACACAATGGCAATCTAAACATTGTGTATTTGTTAAAAGCCAGAAAGGCATTAAATTTGTGTTAAATGTCATGACTCGGCACATGATATGAGCTGTTGTTCTGTCTTTTACTGTACTAAATATGAACGAGTGCATTTCTTAGCTCTCTCGGTAACAGGCTTACCTTTCCTTTCAATGATGGGCGATTATGTGCAATGTGTCCCGTATGACATATGTCTTTGTTTATTACACACACTTCATCCAAAAATGCTGAACCTCTTAGTGTTATCCAATGAATATGGCTCTTTCTTGTACCCATATTAATTGTCATAGTCATATCAACAGAGGTTTTTTTCACGGATGAAATATGTGGATATATGTCATATGTTGAACAAGACACGTTGCACCAAATTTCCATAATTTGTATTAAAAATGAGAACAATGTAATCGTATATTTAGAAGGGCTGTGTCACTTGAGTGATATGTGTTGCAAAAATCTCTTCTAAAACAGTTTTCTTAACCATGTGGAGATGAAAGAGGCGATCTATCTCACACTCATTAGTTTACACCTACAATTGTTTGAGGGGCAGTCCGGATGATCTTGAGCAGCTCGCTGAGCAGCCCCATGACCTTGTCGACATCACCACAGCTGATCGACGTTGCATCCCCATCCATCCTCTCCTCATCCAGACTGCTGGCGTCGACGGTATCGATGGTCTCCTCAACCGTCTCCGTCGGAGTCTTCGCATCGCCCTCTTCGGCATTCTCTTCGTTTCCCGATAGGCACCTGGCTCCATCTCTGCGTCTGGAGCAGGCACTCGATCCGCGATGCTGGAACATAAACAAAACATATGTGATTTGTCTTCTAGGACTCTCTCTCTCCACAATGTCAAAACAAGGGGTCCTGCTATATCTCTCAAAAAGGTTTTTTTTTCTTAGAAAAGTCAATACAACCTAGATGACTGTCAGTGTGGAGCCATGGTGAAAACCTGAACCATTTAGACAACACTCTACGATAAAAAAGTGAAGATCATACAGAAAGAGCAACTATTAATTGAAACAGGCTCAACGGGTTAAAGTCATTAAACACCTGAACAAGTGTTTTATAGCAGCCTCTGAAGGGTTTTTCTGTGGCCAATGCTGCACTGACCTTAAAAACATAAAATGCAGGTCTGCTGTAGTCTA